AGAGCCGGGCTGGGCTGGGCTGGGCTGGGCTGGGCTGAGCTGAGCTGGGGCGGGGAGAGCCGGGCTGGGCTGGGCTGGGCTGAGCTGAGCTGGGGCGGGGAGAGCCGGGATGGGGAGGAGTGAACCGAGCCGGGGCGGGGTGAACCGGGCTGGGCTGGGCCGTGGAGACTGGCTGGGCTAGGGCTGGGAGAGCCGGGGGTCGGGGCGGGTTCCGCGCCAGGGGTGTCTGGCCGAGCCCACGTACCCAAGGCAAAAAGACTCAAGTGATGCACAATACAATCACACCGCCTGTCAACTGATAGCAAACTCTGTCCCTGAACTCCTGTCAGTGCCCCTTTCAAAAACTCCCGCAATTTATATATAGAGTGTGATGTTCTGTGGTGTGGAACATACTTTGGCCAGTCCATAGCCCGTTCTGGCTGTTCTCCCGCTCAGCTTTTGTGTGCATCTCCTCACTGGCAGAGAATGAGACACAAAAAGTCCTTGACTAGGATAAGCACTGCTAAGCGACAACCAAAACCATCAGTTTTCAACATTATTCTCATACTGGTCTCAAAACACAGCCCTGTGCCAGCTACTAAATTAACTACTAATGCCTTCACAAATAATTTAAAGAATGAAGATATGGGTGTTAACATCTTTGAAAGGGTCTTAATGTCTCTGCTGACTTTGGGCAGCAGGTTTGTTCGCGGGCCCAGACAGCTTGGCTCCTGAGATAGGCAAGGGTCTGCACAAGACTGAACTTTGGGGTAAAATGCCAGGCTCAAGGGGGGACATATGAGGTAGGTTCGGGAAGGCTGCACCCTCCTGGTACCTCAGCGATGGGGAAAGGAACAGGGCACCGTGCTGCCAGGAGTTAGGATAAAAGGGAGGCTGAGTCCTCTGAAACCCCGAGAGAGAAAACCCCGCGGTTGTGTGCCCCAGTAAACTCTCTCCCTTTATTGGAATCAAGTTAAAGCTCTACTTTTTGGACATAAATTTCTGGCGTTTTGGACTTTCCGGACAGTCCTCAAGGGTGACTTCAACAAGGGAATTCTGGAGGCCGGGACGAGGTCCGCCCAGCGCCCGGAGCTCCCCCGGGACAGCCGCGTCCGGAGCCGCCAGCTCTGGGGCGAACCCCCGGAGCGGAGCCGGCAGCCGCTCACCCCGACGGTGGTGAGACCCCGATTTCGCTGCGAGCCGCCGCTCCGGGGCGATCCAGCCGCCCCTCACGCCACGGCAGCTTGGGGGAGGGAGGCAGGGAAGGAGGGAGGCGTGCGTAGAACGGCTCTGAGGGCGCATGAGCGAGGTGCGCAGCAGGCTGCGGGCAGCTCCGCGGCCGGCCGGGGCAGCCTCCAGCGCCGCAGGAGCCCAGCCCGGGCCGCTCCCGCAGGTAACGGCGGCCCGGGGCAGCGCCGAGCCCGGGGCGCAGCGCGGGGGCCGCTGAGGCGGCGGGGGCGGCGCCATTTTGCGGCGCTTCGGGCCGGGCTCCGATGCTGCCTTCGAGGCGCGGCCCGGCGTGAGGGAGCCCGCGGGTGTGCTGGGTGTGCCTGAGGGCTCGGTCCGGGTTAGGGCTCCCTGGTGGATGTGGGCCGGGAGTGTGCTCGCCTCGCGGCTCGGGAAGCAGCTCAGGCAGGGCCGGTGTAGTCCGTCTCGCCCCGGTCCGGTGCGGAGCGCAGCCTCGCTCCGTACGCGGTGGAGCCGTGAGGATGTCTGGGCCCGCAGGTATCACCTCCGGCTCGGCGGAGCTCACATAAAGCTCTCCGGGGCGGGACAGCCCTTGCCCGGGGCTGCCGGTGGGGCGTCACCGGGGCCCTACACCTCTCGAGGGGTTGTCCGGCTGAGCCGGGCCCGGGCGCTGGGCCGGGGCTGCCCCTGACCGGGGGGCTCGGGGGAAGAGTCCCGGCCCCGCGGTGCCCAGCAGGGTTGTGCGGTTTTGTTTGTGCTTCGGCCAGCACCATAGTGTCTTTTTCTGTGCAGAGTAGGTACTCGTGAAGCAGCTTCACTCAGGTTTGACAGGAGGAGAAATCCTGTGTGGCCGTCAGCTATCACCTATGGCCCGCTTAGTGATGTATCTTCTGACCTAATCGCTAGGGCCATGTAAAATGTTAAACTCCAGATGCTTTCTGAAAGCTTTGGATGATACAATCTGGATTACAGAAGCTTTATGTTGTGTTAGGCTGTGAACCACTATAGGTTTATTGTGTAAGTTAATGGGGATATGCCAGGTCATATTATGTCTCCTGCTTTGACCCCATGGCAAGCATCAGTTGAGTTTATTTAGCCCTTTCCAAATATTAACAACCCTTTTTCTAGGTAAGAAAGGTGCTTCTGGCATTCAGTCTTGGGAGCAGCTGGGCAAGGATATGTGTGAAAAATGAATTAACTTTCAGGTAGATATTTCTAAAGAGTGTATTTGAGCCTATTGATGCTACAATGATGAGAGGACAGATTCATGGTTTTGAGACCCATCTTGCAAAATATCACGTGCTGGGGCTGATTTTAATACCTCTGAGAGCCAGCCCTGGGTATGGAATGCTTTTCATTCTTTGGAGTGTTCATTCCAGGCAGCTCTGTGTAACGGGATTTTTACAGAGCGTGGAAGATGCCTCTAGGGGAAGCCTCCATTTTGATTGCTGTGCCTAACTCGACTAATTCTGTTGCTCCTGAGTTTGCTCTCAGGTTTTTAAGATGCTGAAATGTGTTTTCCAAGTTCCTGTGCGGGCTTTTTTTATCTAAGAATCTAGAAAATAACTTGGCTTTTCATGGGGTTGGTGCTAAGTAGATTTGACTGTAGGAAGCACACATTGTTGCAAAGATGAAGTATGCAATTAAAGTTCTTCCTTAATTATTTGAGAAGATTTAAATATGTGTCAAATGAAATTCCATAGTCAAGGAACCAAAGTGGTTGAATGAGTTGCCCATAAATTTCTTTGGCACGAAGTAAGTGAAATGTTTATTTCTTCTAAGCAATAGATAGTAAGAGTGCTTAAATAAAGGTATGGTATATATAATGCACTGGAGCACAATCCATGGAATAGAGTGAAATTTCAACACTCAGTTAATTTATTTAGAGAACTCCAGCTATGTTTTGATGCCATGTTTTGATGTTTTGGGCATCAAAACATAGCTGGAGTTCTCTAAATAATAATTCTCTAAATAATTAATGGTAGTGGTAGAAAACACAGGGTGTAAAACACTGTTGAGCTTAGTATTTCACTATGTTGTAGAGAAACTCTGGAATCTATAAAATTCTAAATAAGGAAATGCTAATTTGCCATGCAGTACTGTGGTATTTTCAGGCAGCTAGTCAAGAAAATTTGAATTGGAAGACCATCAAACTTGTTTTATGCAACCAAAATATCAGAGACTTATCTACAAGTAGAAACACAAGGAGAATCCTTTTTTGTATTCAGCAAAGAGTTGGAGTATGTGTGCTGTTATGGAAGTTTATTTTTATGCAAGTACTACTACAATGAATTTTATAAGCATAAACAAGATTGTGTTTCAGGGCACTTACAATGTTTCATCTTGGACTGGCAATTATATGCATAGATTCCGTTTAGTTTTTGGTTTTTTTAATTAAAAAATTAATTAAATTTGAAATTTTTTGCATTTCTTTGAGATGAGCTTTTAGGAAGCCCCAGAACATCTTGTGATGTGGCATCTTCCTGCACATGATATTTCCAGAGCCTTTAAACTTCTCTTGTTTTTTCAGACAGTTTTCTAGACCTGTTAAAATTACCTATCTTGAGAGATACTCTCTTCAGCCTCAGCTTTATCCAGGATACAATATGGTTATTATATAACCTAGTATTTTTCATTTTACTTACATTTCATTACATAACCTAGTATTTTACATTGTTACTTGCATAGCAGAATAACTGCAGTACTCTGCTTGATCCAGGTTAAACTGAAAACTAGAAAAATTGCTATTTTTACATGCCTGATATTTTTCTTGCATGTTTGAGCTTAGCTATTATGTTTGCTCATTTCAGGACTGCCTGTGAACTACAGTCCAGAAAGAAGAAACAATCCCCTTGGTTGAAGTTGAACATTTTTCTGTAGGAATAAGAACAAAACCATGCCAGTGCTTTCAGAAGACTCAGGTAACTCAACTGCATGCTTTCAACAGAACAGTGGCTGAAATCTCATCATAGGTGTGTCACACATAAAATTAATTCAAATTGGAGTAAAATGTAACATAATTAAGGTAATTCAACTGGAGTTTTTTAGCAATTACCTACAAGAAGGAAAGTGGAATGTAAAAAGTGAAAATTAATAAAGTTTGTCTGGAAACAGTTCTCTGAGAACCCTGGAGCATCTGAGTATATTCTGATAGACCTGAATATATTCTGATAGACTTCAATCTATTCTGACAGGCTCCTGTAGGCAAAGCTGGACCTCTCAGTGTAACAGTGCCTTCCACACCTGCCTATTAAAGATCTGCCCTTATATATCTGCTGCTTGCTGGGTCATTTCTTAATATTTTCTGAACAGGAGTTGGTAAACTTTGTTAATATTCTTCCTTTTAACTTAAAATAAGTGACTTTGTTCGAGGCTGCCTTACTGCCTTCTCCAGTATGCTGCCCAGGGGGAGTCACAGGTATTAAATGATGCTTAGGGTTAAAGCAGGAGTGAGTTTGAGTCTCCTGGATCTCCACTCTAAGGTTCGTGGAGAATAGCCACAGGAATAGATTTGAACTCCCTCCACCTTTTTTTATTTCCTGTTTTGTTTTGGTCTTGTGTTCCCAGACATGGTTCACCAGGAAAAATCTGGCCGCGTGTGCTGCAAAATTGGGATATTTAAATTGGATGATTTAAATACCTTCTAGAAAACTAGCCACAAGCTTTGATTCCACCACAATGGAAATCTACACGTGTCCTTTCTTCCTCTGGTCAAGCCTGCCCTGTGTGCTGCAAAATTGGGATATTGGTGATTTAAATACCTTCTAGAAAACTAGCCACAAGCTTTGATTCCACCACAATGGAAATCTACACGTGTCCTTTCTTCCTCTGGTCAAGCCTGCCTTTTTATAGATGCCTCAGAGGTAGAAGGGGCAGGATAACACTTGTAAGCAAAGCTGCTGGGGAAGTACAGCTGCTAAAGGAGGTCATTCAGTCATTTTGAGAGTCTGCTGTGGTACTAAAAATTCAAAATTTGTAAGAGAGAAACAAAGGGTTCTGGAAACAAAGCATAATAAACCGGAAGTGGGAAATGTGAAAGATTTTTTTTAATTGTTTTGTTAGCTTTTGCCTTAATAAGATGCTGTGTTTGCCACTTATGAAGGGAGTGTTGCAAAATGAGTGGTGGATAAACACAAGGTAAACATGAGTCTCTCTGCAAATTTGATGATCATCAGTGTGGTACCCAAATACATGCAGTGACTGTTAAGTCTGCAGTAGAAGGTCCTGTGAGAAATGCTGTGTACAATGTTTTTGTTCTGTCCTGAATCTAAATTTAGGGTTGCATGAAACTTTGGCCCTTTTGACATCTCAGCTAAGACCTGATTCAAATCATAAAGAGGAAATGGGATTCCTTAGGGATGTCTTCAGTGAAAGGAGTCTCAGCTACCTGATGAAGGTAAAAGTTTGTATTTATTTATGTACATTCTCCTTACAGTTTACTTTTTCTCTGTTCCCTTGATTTATCAACCATTTACTTTGCCAGACTTTATTTTTTTTTTAAGAATTCTGTACCAACCAAAGCATGTGTGTGTTTAAGCACAAACATTAATAATGTTTGACAATTAGCATATCTTGTTCAGAAACAAATTTTTCTGCTCTTCTTGCTAAAATGAAGATACAGTACCCCATAGCTAAAAGGTAGTGTGAAATGGCTTCATTTTTTTCCCTTATGCTCCTAAGTCTTCACAGATTTTCTGTCTGAAACTACCATGAGCAAAAAGAAAACTAAGAGTCCTAAACAAAACAAAAATAACCCTAAGAGAGATTATTTTTCTGACACATCTCAGATAAATTATGTTCCTTAAATAGAAAAATATTCCAGTGTAGGTATATTTACAAAGTTTTGTATCTCTCTGTAGAAATATCCCTGAATAATCTTTTTTCAGATTCATGAAAAGCTCCGTCATTATGAAAGACAGAGTCCAACTCCTGTTTTACACAGTGCAGCAGGATTAGTTGAAGATGTGAGTAAAAATTCTTGTCTCCTAATTTTCCTATTATTTATTCCTGCTTTTTTAACAAATCAAAGCTTTGCAATTGTGCTATATGTGAACATATTTCTCATCTTCCCCAACTGTCTTTGTAATCTGTTGGCCATGATTAATCAAGGAAATGAGAGCTCAAAAACACCAAGTCATTAAATGTCCAGTGAAGATGGACACATTCATGTAGAAAGAAAGGATAATATGAATGGCCTTCCTAAGGGAGAGGCTGAAAAAAGCATTCAGCATTCAATAGACTATCCCAGCTGAGCATTCAGTCTTACATTCAGCCTTAAAACCATTACAACCCAGGCAGCACTGCTGTTGGTTTGGGTTGGAGGGACCTTGAAAGCTGATCTCATCTAAGCACCACAGGCAGGCTCACCTTTTCCTAGGTCAGATTGCTCACAGTCCTGTTTATCCTGATTTTGAACATTTCCAGTGCTGGGGCATCCCTGACTTCTCTTGGCAGCCTTGTTTCCAGCATCTCACCATGCAGATGTTCTAGCATCTCACCACCTTCATCATAAAAAAATTCTTCCTTATATCCAATCAAAATGTGGGTAATATAATTCTTCCTTATATCCCATCTGCTCTCTTTCAGTTTAAAACAGCTGCCCATGTCCTGTCAGTACAGGCCTTGGTGAAGAGATTTTCTCTCTTGTAAGCCTCCTTTATGTGCTGAATTGTCATATTGAGACAGAGACAACACAAAGCAACACACTCCATTTTCAGGAGGCTTCAAACTATTTTTATTATAGCATGCATGATTTTTATACATTCTTACAAAACTCATAAGTTTACACTTTACTCATTGGTCAGGAGAGACAAACAAAGTGCTGATTGGAATAGGCAGTTGCAGGTTTCTCTTATTTATCCTTCTTTGTTTCTTGGTTTCTATGTCAAGGACCTTGGTAGAAAATTCTTTGAGGGGTAAACATGGATCCTCTTCTCAAACTTCCTCTGGCTCAGAGAAGTTCCTGTAAAACCTCTTCCACACTGAATGACAGCAGTAAAGTCTCCCCCAAGCCCTCTCTTCTCCAAGCTGAGCAATCCCAGCTGTCTCATCCTTTCCTCATAGGAGAGATGTTGCAACCCTCTGGGCATTTTGGTGATCCTCCTGTGGATGCACTAGAACAGGTCTGTGCACTGGGACTGGAGCTGAACACTGCTCTGGGTGAGGGGCTCTCATGAGAGCAGGAGGAGGGACAGGATCACCTCCCCACACCTCTGAGTGAGGGGCTCTCATGAGAGCAGGAGGAGGGACAGGATCACCTCCCCACACCTCTGAGTGAGGGGCTCTCGTGAGAATAGGAGGAGGGACAGGATCACCTCCCCACACCTCTGAGTGAGGGGCTCTCGTGAGAACAGGAGGAGGGACAGGATCACCTCCCCACACCTCTGAGTGAGGGGCTCTCGTGAGAACAGGAGGAGGGACAGGATCACCTCCCCACACCTCTGAGTGAGGGGCTCTCATGAGAGCAGGAGGAGGGACAGGATCATCTCCCCACACCTCTGAGTGAGGGGCTCTCGTGAGAGCAGGAGGAGGGACAGGATCACCTCCCCTGACCTGCTGGCCCTGCTTTTCTCCCTGCAGGCTGGGATACAGTTCTCTTTCTGGACTGCAAGCACACCTTGCCATGATGTATCTGATGTTTCATCTGGCAGGATCCTCAGGTCACTCTGCTGGGGGCTGCTCTCAATCAGTTCACGCCCCAGTCTGTTCACAGAGCAGAGCTGTGTCTTAGATTTGTGTGTGACACGATGCCCTGTGCCTGTGAAGTCAAATTTGTTCTGCATTTGCTGGCTCTTTACATGGACCTGTTTTCTACCATAGCATAGGAAGGAGCAGTGGAAGGTTTGGGAGCTGGAATATTTCCCTTTTCAAAGTCAGGAGACCCCAGTGCCCCCCTTAACATGCAGCACACCCCCTCTCCCTGTTCCCACACACAATGTACCACCTCCACAAAAGTTTCAGCGTTGCTACCTGTCAAGTCATACAAAATTTCCATCTTCAGAATAGCAGAGAAGTTTTTTATAGAACTATATGACTTCCCTGCTTAGAACCCTTAACAGGGCAAGGAAATCTCTTTTGCCTCAACCCATTTTCCCTTCCTCCTCCCTCCCCTGCTTTCTCTCTCCTCCCACCCACTCAGCCCAGTGCAGTAGTGCCTCCATTATTTCTCTCATCTTTCATTTAAAATGCCTGAGAGTCCAGGGCATACTTTGGTGTCCAGGTTTTGCAGGGGAACAAGGGCAGTTATATTGCATGTTCCACACAGTTAATACTAGATGATTGCAGAAAAGTTATAAGTCTTTTATCAAATAATACAAGAGTGTTGTTTCATGTATCATTTATGTATTCCATACAGAATTTAAAATTTCAGAACTCGCTCCTGAAATTCTATTGATGGAATAACTCTTAAAATGTATGTTTAGGGATTATTATTCTGATTCCTGATGCTGTCTTCTGAACTATCTAATAAAGACAGCTAAAGAAACTTTGGTTTCTTTCAGGTTTCATGCACTGTGGACTGGGATCAGTTTTGATCTATGTACACTACTTTGATGGATGATAGGTGTTAGCAAACACTCAGCAGAAATCTAAATACATGACCTTGTTTGGTGGACTCCTTTAATTTTGAAGTTGTAAATTTTTATTTTAAAGGTAATAGAAGAGTTGCAGACAGCACCAGTGAATAATGAAGAAAAAGAGCTGCTTCAGCTGTTGTCAACACCACATCTCAGGGTAAAAACCACATTGGGGACCTTAAAGAAATGCCTTTGCAGAATTGTGATAGAACATTTTAACAGAAAAGTTATATAGAAGCATCCTCCAAACTTCTATTCCACTGGGATTTCCTGCACAGACTTTAGGATGTGGAGGAAATTGAAAAGAGACAGTTTTCCAGCTTAATGCACCATGCTGTCTTCCATTCCTCCCTTCCTTACTGTTTTCTGAGGGACCAGGAAAGAAAAGGAGAAGAGGATACCTTCTTGCTTTTCATTGTCCACTTTGTTTTTTGTTGTTGCCTGGATTTATTGTAAATATTGACATTTACCAGTATATAGTTTACATTATGGATAAGGTAATTGCTAAATCTTTTTTGGGGGATTTGTGGTGAGGCTAGAAAGGGGGAAGTTTAATTCTGCTGTAATACTGGAAACATGAGAATGGGAATTGTAATATTACTCCATTACATTACTGTTTTTTATGTCCTTTATGCAGGCAATGCTTGTAGTGCATGACACTGTAGCACAGAAGAACTTTGACCCAGCTCTTCCACCTCTACCTGACAATTTTGATGATGATTTTGATGAGGAATCAGTGAAAATTGTTCGGCTAGTGAAAAATAAAGAGCCCTTGGTACATATTAGATCACCCATCTCTAGTCATAAAACTTTATGGTGCAAGAGTGTTATTGTGAGTATGGAGGAGGTACTTGAAGATGTCATCAAATATCCTTCAGAAACTTGGAGTGTTCTGAAGCTTAGAGAGTAACATAAAAAATAATTTGGTAAATGGTAAATGCACCTCCACAATTTTGCATTTAGCTGCTTTATGGGCATAGTTTGTAATGCCAGGAAGCACAGTGAAGAAACTGTATATGTTGAAGCAATTATGCTGATTATATCTATTAATTCTTTTGATACTAACATCCAATGACTTAATGCATTCACTTGCATGAAAGTCAGTGAGAGTGTGTTTAATACCTGTGTATAAGCATTATATTGTCAAGGTCCTAATTTTATACAAATGGAAATGGAAGAATTGATTCCCTAAGGAAAAACAATTGTATTGGGAAAGAAATCTGCTTTCTGTGTATCACAGTAGTAGAAGGGAGCAGTGACTGAATTTCTGATTAAAGCTTTGTATTGCCAGCAGAGGTAGGAGGAGGAAAAAAATCCAATTACTTGGCTTTTGTTGTTTTTTCCTGTTAAAAGTGCTGACTATATTGTGTAAAGATTCAGAAGGAGGAGAAAGAATTTCTTACAATAAGCTGTTTTGCACACTTGAGTGACTTTGATGACCACAGTAATGCAGGAAGTGTAAGCACTTATCAAAGTCAGCAGAAAGGAAGGTGGGTGCACCTTCCCATAATCACTTGGCATGGGCAAAACTTGAGTAAATGGTGGAAATCATCAAGGAGAAAGAGGAAATCCATTGAATAAATTAATTCCAGTTTAAAAGACATGATAGTATACACGTTATTTCTCTGGTTGCTGAATTCAGGGCAAACTTCTTACATTTTTTTGGGTGGGGGGTATGTTTTATTTCAGGGAGCTACCATCAGAAGAGATGAGAACACAGGAGCTGTGGTTGTAGCAAGGATCATGAGAGGTGGTGCAGCTGATCGCAGTGGTATGATTGCAGTAGTACATTTCTGACTTGCACTTGGAAACCTCTGAAGTTTCCTGAGCATGCTCTTAGCATTCCTGTGATTCATCAGTAATCTGTTAATCTAATTACATATGCTTTTTATTAAAATGGCCATTAGGAAAAAATGAAAACATAGATGGAAGAAGTATGTTTGAGTTTTAGAAAAATGCAAAGAATGTTTTTAACTTTTAATCTAGTAGCTTGGTTTATTCAGTGTATCATGTGTTGTTTTCTGTTTGCTTCACTGAGAAATTCTTTAATGTCAGCTAAAAGTAGCTATATATATGACAAGTACAACATTTCTTATTGAACTGCATAAACAAATCTAAATCTTGTAGAGCCTCTTCACGGCTTGTTAAAAAAATTTACTCTAGCATTTTTCTGTGAGTGTGAAGTATTGATCTGTCAGGTGACAGACATGTCATTCTTGCCTTTATATTCCTGTGTGTCTCCTGACTTCATAAGATTTGGGCACACTCGTGAAACTAGTTTTGTATACTTAACACTGATCCAAATAGTGATTTTCCAGAGTACCTTGCCACAAGTTGCCTGTCTGCATGCTGCTCTCCTGTGAGCTGTGCTGCATGGAAAAAAAAAAGTGCCATTGGGAATAAAGGCAGGAGACTGTGAGGCACATTTCCAACAAAGGCACTTGGCTTTGGTATTAAATCCATCAGTCTGGATGAGGGAGGAGAGGAAGGACATGCTAATGACTTAGGCTGGACATCAGAGGAGTAGTGCTTTCCAGTCTCTAGACCTATTTTAATTTACTTACCATCTTTTCAGGTCTTGTCCATGTTGGAGATGAACTAAGAGAAGTCAATGGTATTACTGTGCTTCACAAACGACCAGAAGAAATAAGTCAGATTTTGGTCTGCACTGATTTTCATTTCAAGATCTTTTCTGTTTGGTGATCTAGTAATTACAGTAGATGATGAAATTTAACCATGAGTTTAAAATATAGAGCTAAAAGATGCAATCCCTGCTTGTCTTTGCATTAAGAGTTTTTCTTCTCCCAGTGGATTAGTCTTCTCCTTTTGACTTCAGAAACTTCTGCGAACTGGATTGGTACCAAGTAAGATACAAATACAAAGCTAACATGTTGCTCTGTCAAGAACTTCCCTTTAATGCTTTGTTTATGGCAAGCAAACTGCAAATTATAAATACACTCCTAGAAGATGATCCATAATGTGGTGTGTTAGGAAGCTGAAGAGAGTCTGTCTGTGTGCTCAGTAGATCTGTCAGTCTGTTCTTTACCAGCAGATTCCTGGTGACATGAGCAATTTCTTGCTTCAAGCTTCTCTAACATGAATACCCACAAATCTTGGTAGAAAGTGTTGTAGCTCTTCTGCTTCTTTATCTCTGATTTCCCTCTTGTGGTGTGGTTTCCCCTTGTCTTGGTGTGGAGTGGAGTTAGGGACGCAGTAAGGTGTCAGTTCCATCACCTAATTTCAATTTAGATCAAACAATCCCAAATAATGCCAATGACTGCTTTTAACTTGGGGGGCAGAGGGTGTCAAAACCACTTTGAAATAGTGTGTAAAGTTTAATTTATGGGGATCTTGGGATGCTATTTATCTGTCCTGTGTAATTTCTAATTACATATGTCCCATGTGAGTTAATGCCTGAAGTGTAACACTTTCTTTTTCATGGTTTACTTTTTGAAGAAAAGCTACAGATTTTTGTGTTTGCTTTTTAATCTGTGCAGAATTGCAGGCTTCCCTACAACACAGTTCATCTCATGCAAAATAAGGCATCTAAAACAGATGAGATAAACCCATTCTAGATTTCTGAAGGACCTAGAAGTGCTTTTTAGTTTACTATAACTAATAATTTTAATTTCCTAGCAAAGATTTATGGAGTGAAAGTAGGTGTTTATTTTGTAGATGCTTATATTTCATCCTAACAAGTTAGTCACTATGTGGAGAAAACACAGCAATATTTTTCAAAGCAGCACTTTAAAATTATTAATCTGCAAAAATTTAAGTCAGTGTTGTACTAAAAGCCACAGAAGTATGTAATGTACTCTGAACTGTAGCCCAGAAATTAATGCAATTGCTAAAAGCAAACAAAGGAATTTTAATGCAGGTCTTAATAAGTTTTAGCCAAGTAGTTACTGTGGATGTCTCCATGGGCAAGACACTGTTGTGGAGTCATGGAACATCCTGATATTCTCTGTAATGCAGTTAAAGAGTGGATTAGCTTGGCCTGTTAGAGTTCTGAGGAGACAGCTGCTAGCTCCTTAACTGGAGCTTGAATAGTCTGCATTGTATCCTTGTCTTGCTTTCAAAGTAAAAAACCATTTCTGTTTTTCTCAGGCTCAGTCTCAAGGGTCAATAACACTGAAGATAATTCCAGCCATCAAAGAAGAAGATCGTCTAAAAGACAGCAAGGTATGCAGCTGAAACGCTGAGGCACATCTTCACAGCTCTGTAAATGCAGCATTCCTGCTCCAGTGGGAAGTGCCACAGACTCCTAATTGAGCTACAAAGATAGCAGAGTGCTTTCTTGTGCAGTACCCTTCTGTTCATGACTCTTCTCCATCTTGGCACATGTTCTTTTATAGCATTTCTGAAATCCTGCCTCTTCTTTTTGGTACGTGTAATTAAATTTAGTGTTCTGCTGTCTCCTCTCACCACGGCAGCTGAAATCTGTCCATTATCTCTGGGCATTTTGCCACTCACTTGAGTGAAAATGGACCTCTCCACAAGCAGAGCTGCATTCACTGTGTGACCCCATCAGCCCATTTCATCTGCCCTACCTGATCAGCAATAAGTGATGGCTCAGCCGGTCCCTCACAATTCCTCTGTCAGTCTCTCTGCCTCCCTTCTCTTGGTTGCTGATCCTTGAAGCCCACAAATCACTTTCAGAAGTGGTTCTGCTGTTGTGTTAAATTGTGTTAAGATACAAATCCAAAGTTGAATAGTAGGTTTTGATGCATTAAAGGAACATTTTAAGGGCAGTGTTTACAACTGGGCAACTTAATCAGAAATCCATTTTTGTTTTCTCTCTCCCCTTGGTTTTTTTTCAACCATTCCTTTATTGCATTTTGTACTTAATGTAGATTGTGATCTGTGTTTCTTGGAACTTTGGTCTTTTGAGTCTCATGTTCCACAATTCTGAAATATAACTACTGGGTAGATGCTGGAAAGTTAATTTATTTTTCTGCATAGATCTGCTAGGTGTCTGTATTTTGGAGTGCTTGCAGGAGGTATAGCTAGCAGTGTTAGCATTGGGGAAAGCCTTTTAAAGGCAGCTATTTGAAATTCCAGATAGGACAAGAAGAAATGACGTGTTACCTTTCTTTTGAAGGTGTTTATGAGGGCACTTTTCTGCTATAACCCCAAAGAAGACAAAGCCATTCCTTGCCAGGAAGCCGGGCTGCCGTTCAAGCGACGCCACGTGCTGGAAGTTGTGAGCCAGGATGATCCCACGTGGTGGCAAGCCAAGCGTGTTGGGGATACCAACCTCAGAGCAGGCTTGATCCCCTCAAAACAGTTCCAAGAAAGGTTTGTCAGCAAAGATTACAGGTTTTATTTTTCTTTCACATGTATATATATTGATATATTGATTTTATGCTGGGATTTTTTCACAGAAAATGAAAGGCACTGTCATGCCAGGGTAAATACAGCTAAGAGGAAAGTGCTAAAAAGCTCCATCTTCTCCAATTATATCATAAACTTCCTGGCTTGATTTGAGTATTTTGCCATTGTCTTAATGCTTTGTAGCATGAGGACAGAAGCACTTGCTAAACAAACATGTATGAAATGAAATGTGAAGTATCAGTCTCTTAACCATCTTGGCTTATGGTTATGTGACTGTATTTCACAACCTTGTACTTCCACAGATGTATTGTCATTATTTTGAATTTATGCAGAGATATTATGATCTGATCTTTCTTCTGGCTCCTAAGAGGGTATTTAGCTTCCAGAGCTTGAAGTTTCTCTGTTTTCACAGCAAGATACATGTACCTTCTAAAGCAAAATATCCCTCAGTTCTTGTCTTTACAGAAATGCTATTTTGAGAAGGAATCTGTTTTAATCCACTGGTCTCACTTGCTGCAAATCACTATAAATGTGTTCTTTGGTTTGTAGGTGTTACAGGGAGGGTATCTAACAATTGAACAGGTCTGATGCTGTTGCTGGCCTGCATGATTTCCATAAGGTTGGAAATCTAATTGAGGTCTTGGCTCCACTACATGAAAGCTCCTTTGAAACATGAGGCAAATTTTGCCTCTACAGCTGTTTCCTTCTTCCTGGGCATGCAGATATATCAAAAAATGCTGCTACACTGCTGCACTGCAGTCTTTTAAATTTTTTCAACGTTGTAAACAAGTAAAAATATGTACAAATAAAAGGAATATAGAAATTGCTTCAGTGTCTGTTTCCCCTGAGTGACTGTAGAATTGCCTGAGCAGCATCTCTTCTCTGTTATAAATATTGTAAAAAACCACTTGGGAGGAAATTGTGGTTTCAGTTGCCAGCAGAGAGGGGTTTCTTGAGGGTTGGATTTTTGTGCTGGGCTGTTGGGGTGCTTTTGGTGTTGGGTTTTTGGTGGGAGGTGTTGAACAAATAGGAATTTTGATCTGGTTTGTGATTTTAACACTGAAGGAAAATTTTACTTGATGGTCTGTTCTTACATTTTCACACAAGCTGGGTAACTTGGTTTGTTTACTAGTAAATAACAGAAAACTTCAAACTGATCTGGAAAAAGGTGGATAATTTCTACTTATGCACAGCTCTTACTGCTTTGGACAAAGGTTATCTACTTTTCTTAATGTTGCAAAAAAAGATCACATGGGCAAAAGGGAAATGGAAAGAAAACCAGACTGATAAACTATTGATTTCTGTGCTCTACTATATGAAAGCATAAAATGTTTTAGAATTTTCTTTTCATTCCCTTACCAGTGGAGGGAGTGAAAAGAAAACAATCTGAGTAATCCATGTTGCAAAAAAAGATCACGTGGGCAAAAGTGAAATAGAAAGAAAACCCAGACTGATAAACTATTGATTTCTGTGCTCTACTATATGAAAGCATAAAATGTTTTAGAATTTTCTTTTCATTCCCTTACCAGTGGAGGGAGTGAAAAGAAAACAATCTGAGTAATCTGGGTAACAATCTGAGACTGTCATAGTTTTAAATAAAGCCTTTTAAATAGTTGAATCAGAGACATTTTAATTTTTTTTTAGAAAAAGCACTATGTCATTCTTTATTTCCCATGCTATAAATTCTCTATAATTCTGAGTTTACATTTCTAAAATAGAATTATTTTCTATTCAGACGACTGACTTACAGGAGAACAACAGGCACTCTGCAGAATACCAGAACTCTGAAGAAACCATTATGTAAGTCTGTTCTGTTCTCTCAGTGATGTTTTAATTGATACTAAGTTCTCAGTTTTTTCTGTTATTTCAATAATGATGTGTTTGAGTGTATTTCACCACTGATTGATATTTTAATTACCATCTGCCATTGGTTGATATGCATGGACACAAGGGAGGAGGAGGAGGATTTGAGCTTTATCCAGTGTTGTAAGTGCTTATTGTTTTCAAAAATCATAGCTGTCCCTCTCTCCCTGCTCTCAAGAACATGAAGCCTTACATACTTAGATGCCTTAAAAATTTGCTCACACTTTTTTCTATGATTTGAAACTTGAAAGCTGAAATATAACCTAATGTATACTTCCCAAAACTATTACATGAGTGCATGAAACTACTCTAAACTCATGTGAAAATAAAGTGTAAGTTTAAGGAGGATAAAAATCACTGGAGCTGGAAATATAATCTGTATTTCAGGCTTAATGTTACAGAGTTGGTGTTAAGCAGACTTCAGAGTGATTGTTGTTCACAGCTCTGCAGTCTCTGTCACTGAACTATTCACAAAACTCTCCTTGTGAGGAAATTGCTAGGAAGTGCTGGAAAGCAGAAGGAGTTACAATTATCCCAAGCTGTGTTTCTGTTGCTCTTGGTACTTTAGCACTGTTGGTGTGGGGGGAAGGCTGTGACTGTGTGCAGCCAGGACTGTGCTAGGACTGCCACCCTTGTGTAGACACGGATTTTGGAAATCCTTTGGAGTAACAGGAGTGAATTTGTGCCTTTGGTGCATGATGAGCTGCAGGTGTTCTCATGCTACAAAGAGGGCAGATGCTCAATCAAGTTATGAAATAGCATTATTGATTTAAATGAAGCTTTTCCAAATTAGTTTCCATTACAATCAAATGAGGAGGCATGTAAGGAGGAGTGCTGCTTAAGCTTTATCTCAGATGTTATCAAGACAATTAAGCTGATAACTGGTTATAATAACTACGTTTCAGCCCCAAATTCTTTAATCAGTTGATAAGGGTATTGTTTTAAGATAGAAAAGCCTGTTAAGCAAATTAAACCAGAACCTTCCTTTCCATTTGCTCTAATTTTGCTCAATTATTTGTCCATCTTTTAATATCATCCCAACTCTGCCTTTCATGCTAACTTATAGATGATCAGTCTTCTGACAAAGGTAGGTGCTCTCCTAACTCACTTTCTACAACCAAAGTATTTTCTAAAATAATAAAATTTTCTAAAATCCCAAAGGGAACAGTAGGTATATTGGACATTTTCTTTGTGAATTATTATTTAAACTAATCTAATTCAGGTTGATGACTGAAGTAATGGTAACTTCCAAGTTTGCTTGTGATTCAAGAGAAAAAATTTGCCTTCTGAGATGTATTTACATGTTCTGTAGGTTTCTGAGTGAGGTTCAAAGACTTGCAAGTTAAATGCAGTCTTTGTATGTTTAAAAAATAAATAAATAATTGGGGTTTAACATTTTAGGGCACCCATGTCAATCCTAATTGATTTGTCTTCATTTTTTCTGTGTTATTTTCATTATGAGCAACTCTGTTGGGCTTATGCAGTTTATGTGTCATGTACCAGCTGCCTTTCCAAATATCAGGTATTTCCTGTTGAATTCCATATGCTGTGGTGTTTTTTTCACATTACAGTTACTTGTTGATCTTCACATTCCAAGTATGAAGTATTCCATCAGCTTTGATGAAAGTACAGATCACATTTTGTGATAAGAGTATAGCAGGCATGGCCAGCTGTCAAAGCACAGTCTGAAAGAGCCTGCCTTGAACAGCAGAAAATAAACAAACAAAACAGCTCTGACCTTAGCTATGGATTGATCTTATTGCTATTTGTATTTTTTCTATATTTGTATTTTTTTCTCAATGTTCTCTACATTTCTTAAACTCCAGTATTTTGGGAGTACACATTGGCATTGCTTGATTTAAAACTATTCATTAAAAACCAAAGTCCTCTCTTGGCTGGCACCTTTGCTTAAAGGTTTAAATGCTATATATTTTTGCTTATGCTTGGGTTTATCCCATACACCACCACCTCAAAATGAGTAGAGTTCTGTAAATATTACAAGGTGTCTAAATTAACTAGGCATCCCTCTTTCAGGAAGTTTGAGAACTCAGTATTTCTCTTAGGATTGCAGAGCATATTTTTGCAGCTAATTATCATGGTTTTATTATGCACACTTCAGGGGCCTTGGGAGTGGTTGTAATTTGAGGAGGTTGGGAATTTTTAACATGGTATTTTACATATGTGCATATGACCAGAGCATCAAATCTTTATTTTTTTTAATAAAGATAATTTAACTTGGTCAAAATGAAGAGGGTTAGAGTTCATCTTTGTCATTTCTGATGCCCTTTTTTCAAGTCCAAATGATAATGAAATATCAGAATAGGCAATTTTCTTACATAATCATACTCATTTATAAAGTTATTAATGTAAAAAAGAGCTCTGTGTTTGTGGAGTCTTCTTTTTTACTTAAGCCTGAGTCTCATACTTTCACCAGCAGCACTAATCAAATGTCATGAATGCTGCAAAGCATAAACTCTGGGAACTGTAAATACCAAGATATAAAATTCTCTAGTTCAATATCAAAGTCAAGAATTTTTTCAAATATAAACCATTAGTCAAGGCAGATATTTTTTTAGTATTAGCAATGATTATTTTTAAAAAGTATGTGCAAACAATGCAGGATATAAAATTTCTTTCCTTGCCAATGAGCCAGACTTGTATCACACACATAGTCTAAGATATTTCCTTCCTCCCTCTCACTCTCCTTTTCCCTGTGCCCTACCCCCACTTCCTTGCTTTTAATTTACAGAAGACTGTGACTGTGAAGGATATTTCAATGGACACTACATAGGTGAGTAACCAAAACCCTTTACCTCTTCCCTAGCACACCCACTCCAAAAAAACCCAGAACCAAAATGAAAACAAAACACCCCCACCCAATAAACCCCCCCAAAAACCCAACTTCCACATTAAAAAATTTAAACTGGACTATTAAATTAATTTCACATACCTTCATAAAGTAAATTATCTCTGTGAAGAGGTATAATCTGACTTTGGCATAACCAATACTTGGCAGCTAAAGTTAGATGAGGGGGATTTTATTATAGGTTGGGTGTTAGGTTTTCTATCCTATAGGCAATGGGATGTGAGGTTTCTATTCCATATGTGAGGTTTCTATCCCATATGTGAGGTTTCTATCCCATATGTGAGGTTTTCTATCCCATATGCAATGGGATGTTAGGTTTTCTGTCCCATATGTGAGGTTTTCTATCCTATAGGCAATGGGATGTTAGATTTTCTATCCCATATGCAATGGGAGGTTAGGTTTTCTATCCCATATATGAGGTTTTCTACCCCAATATTCAATGAGATGTGTGGTTTTCTATCCCATATGCAATGGAATGTTAGGTTTTCTATCCCATATATTAAGGTTTCTATCCCATATGCAATGGAATGTTAGGTTTTCTATCCCATATATTAAGGTTTCTATCCCATATGCAATGGGATGTTAGGTTTTCTATCTCATATGTGAGGTTTTCTATCCCATACTCAATGGGATGTTAGGTTTTCTATCCCAAATGCAGTGAGATATTAAGTTTTCTATCCCATATATGAGGTCTTCTCTCCCATACTCAATGGGATGTTATGTTTTCTCTCCCATATCCATATTTTCCCCCTTCCCTGGAGCCCTTTGCATTTTTTGGAGCAGCTGCCAGCAGCATTCTGCTCCTTGATCTCAGGTTTAATATCTTCAACACCTTTCCTAATGGTAGCAGCTTTTGTTACAGATTTCTCCTATAATTGAGCACATCTGTAGTGATTTGATTAGAAACAAAATTTGTGGGAATAACTCACATTTGAAGGCAATAACTTGAGGCTGAACAAGTTTGAAAATCTGGGTAAGTGGCAACATGTATTTTCTGTTTTGTGCCCAGCTGGTTTACGCAGGAGCTTTAGGTTAAGTCGAAAAGAGAAGGAAAACAGTGGCAGTGAAGGCAAGCAAGCAGAGCAGGCAGATGGAGCAGAGTTCCTCACATATGAAGAAGTCACAAAATATCAGCAACAGCCTGGTGAACAGCAGAGGCTGGTGGTTTTGATTGGTAAGGTACCCAGTGTGTTCAAAGTTTTTCACATTTTTCCTCTTCCCTTATCCTGCACTTCCAGAGGTTTTCTTTAGGTGTTTGGATTGGGGGTTTTTGTGGTTCTGGTGGGGTTTTTAAAATATTTTTCTGGTTTTTGTCAGAACTTGCTCTTTTATTTTAAATTACATTAAAAAACAAAAAGGAAAAAAAGCTAAGCAAGGAATCAAACTCACCAGATCCTTCTAAAAATAATCATGCAGGACTATTTCTCATTTTTCTGACTCACTTTCCCTTGCTTTTTACTCCAGTGTTTAGGCTGTCAGAACTATTGATGAAGAGGCAGATGTTAGACTTATCTAACAAGATTTTGCATGTCATTTCAATTCAGCTTATCAGCCTTGTGCTAAGCCAGTGTCTCAGGATGCCCTAAAATTCAGGGGTATCTCATAGAACTGACTGCTAAGATCAGATTTCCTGATTTAGTGTCTGCCAGGGGATTGTCCAGCAGTTGTTCAAAGAATTAAATTTATTCCTGCTGATCTTCAAAGCAGAATATGCCATGAGTTCTCTCATGAAGAGGTTTCTTCAAGCACACTTCCAAATCACATTCTTTGTGTGAAACTGATACATTTATTTTCATTTCACACAGAAACCTATCAGACAGTTTTATTTTATTTTATTAGGTTGTCTGGGGGCCAAGTTAAGTGAGCTCAAGCAAAAAGTCGTGTCAGAGAACCCCCAGGAGTATGGTGTTGCAGTTCCACGTGAGTAAAATTTACTGAATTGTGTTTGTTTCATCTGTATTCCATAAATGCTGTCTAATTAAAGTCCTGCCATCTGCACTAATGATCATTTCTCTTCTGACTATTGATTATATGAATATTTCATGAAGTACTTCATTTTTTTTTCTCATTGTAATATGCTGTTTGCCCTTAATAGGTGAATAAATCATTGTAACTTGGCACATCTGCATTTTGGAAATCTGTCAGCTCAGTGAGGTTTTTTAATTGTGTTTTCCTGAGTGGGCAGATTGCATTTTCTCAATGTCTGTTAAAAGAAAAACTGAATACTGGAGGAAAAATAGAATGTGACTAGAGAGCTGGTGTGATAGAGTATCTTAAAAGTCAGCCAAAACATTGTGTTTTAAAAGAAGGTGATTTTTCTTGAGAGCAGGATTACAGCTGCAGTTAAAAAAAAAAAAGCAGACAGCAATAAATCAAATCAAAATTTGGGCAATATTTTAAGTTGTAGTTAGTATATCTAGGCTGTTTAAACAAGGAAGTCAGAGTAATAGAGAAATTAGTGATTCTTGCATGGCTTTGTGGCTAGAGTTACACTGAATTTATCTAACTGGATTATTTTCTAAAAAAAAAAAGGAATTGTCAGACACACAGAGAAAAAATCAATTCTTATTTTAATTCCCTAACAAGCTACTTCTTGAATCCAAAAAATTAGCATTGAGGACACTGTTTATATGTTATTTAAGACCTGTAAAAATAAAGTTTTTCAGGCAGACTTCAGTAAGCTGGCAAAAGAGCTCAAGTGAGTAATTTCTACTTGAATTTAAACATACACCAAAAAAAATAGCAGACATTACTTTTATGGTCTGGCACAGATTTGTAGAATGATCATCAAACTTCTCCTACAGTAATAACAGCTACAAAAAGAAATTACACCAAAAGTAAGGAACTCACATAATTATGCACAAAATACCTTGGGAAACAGCCATCAATATTTTACTGTAAATTCAATATAACTTTATATATTTCCTGGTTTTATTTTTGAGCTTTCCAAGAAAAGCCAAATTCTGGGAGTCCAGAATTCCAAACAATTAAGTTACACTGTTTTCTGTAGGATATACTCTGCTAAATCTGCCAGGTGTAAGAAGGATGCTTCCTAATTTTTTTTTTTTTTGTTGTTAGTTACAGCACTCCTGGGAGCAAAACAACTTCATTTTTGGTCATACAATATTTGAGATTGGGTTTAAAACAAAATTCCATGGTCTGATTTATATTTTGTTCGTTTGAATTTGCCACTGTGCAATTTTCTTGTTTAAAGTTGTGAAAATGTGACTGGAACTAAGTAGAGAAAACATTTGCAAAGGCTGATGTGTCTCCCATGTCTTGCTTCCCTTCTCTTCTAGATACAACAAGGTCAAGGAAAAGCCATGAGAGAGAGGGAGTAGAATACAATTTTGTTTCTAAGCAATCATTTGAGACAGATGTGCAGCAAAACAAGTGAGTTAATTTTAAAATACTGCTATAACTGGCTATTTAAAAATATTGCTTGTTCACTTTTACATCACATGAATACTAAAACCAGGTGACAGGTTGGACAAGCTGTATTAGAAGGATTCAGCTTTTAAGTAAAAAGCTCTTTACTGAGTCTGGACTGTTAGAGCAAACTCAAAACATTTAGCTGGAAGCAATTTAGGAAAAACATCAGTAGGAGGAGCCTGAGTTAGAATTTAAACCTGCATAATGATTGGTCAGAATTTAATCTAGTGAAAGTAACAGATGCTTAGTTGGGCTGCTTACTGTCTGTTTAATATGATGAGTAAGAAGTTTTATTCACAAAAGTTTTATATTATTTATTTTAACCTGTGTTACACCTGACATTATGAGCCTGAACATGTTTTCTCCTAGTTCAGATCTTTACAGGTCTCCCAAAAGATGGGAGAATTGCAGTCCATTGCCTTGCCAGCTTTGTTCTGTTTTCTGTGAAAAATATCCATTCTTCTTCCCCTTTTTGTCAGTAGTGCTGGTTAAGTGTTACTGATTTATGAAGAATTGCCACTAAGCAAGGAAGAAAAAAAAACAAAGTAAAAAAATCCCTCCCCACCCACCCCCAGTTTTCTGCTCTCTCCTCCCTCTTTGACTGCTGTGACTTCAGGAAATGTTCTAAGATCAAATGTTCTAAGTTAAATATTCTCAATATTTTTTGTAGATGGTATTTAAAAGTGTATTGACTTTTTAGATTTGTGGAACACGGAGAGTACAAAGAAAATTTGTATGGCACAAGTCTGGAGGCAATCCGGTCTGTGATGGCCAAGAAGAAGGTTTGTTTGGTGGATGTGGTACCTGAAGTAAGTTCTGTAGCTTCTTTTAAAGAACACAAATAAGATTTCCTGCTGCCTGAGCAGAATGGGACTCTTGGGAATGCAGTGCAGTGGTTGCAGTTCCTACATGTCCAGCTGGGACATGCCTGGCAAATAACAACAGATAATTTAGAGAAATAGAACTATGAAAAAATGCATTGTAGTAGGGGTACTGCTAATTACCACAAGGGGTAATTTTAGATGATTGGCTTTAAGGCATTTACAGCATGGCCTGGCTAAAGCTGATAGGCCAAAAAACACTTACAGTGTATTGTAATTAGGAAATAATTGGCTTCTGAGTGTGATGGTGTGAATTATAACATCTGTATTGTCTCATCCTTCACATGAGACTGAAAATGGAAAAAAATTTTTTAAAGCACCTCTCAGTTGCCCCATCTCTGGGTCAGAAAAGGGCTTAATCCAGCACAGCCTGGCTGTCTCTTTAGTAGTCCTCACTGTGGGACTTTGCCCTTTGTAGGACCAGTGTGCATCCCTGTCCCAGCCTGCTCAGGTCCTAGAGAGAATCCTTAGAGCAAAGCTGTTGATTCCATTCTAGTCCTGATTTTAAAAACACTGGCCATAGCACACCCACACCTCCCCCAAGGCTCTCATTTGTAGGATCTCAAAGATGCAGTACCCATTTTTGGGTGCAGATACAGAATACAGTAACACCCCAGGACAGGAGCAGTGTAAGCAGTGCCAGATTACCTGCTCTTAATACCCCATGCTGTGAGTTAATACTTGAAATTTTGATCCAGATTTTGTAACTGGGCTGGGAAAAGGCTTGTGGTACTACCTCAAATGAATTCCAGATTTAAAATTTGCAGTGTTTGGCTGCTTAGGCAAAGCAAACCATAACTTGCCCATGAAGTCAGGGTTTTTTATACTTTGCTCAGTATTTTTTGCCATGTCCTTGCCCCTTGGAATCACAGTGCTCTTCAGGCCATGCTCCATGCACCCTTGTGTGCTAGCCAGGACACTCTCATGAGCCTGTGTTTGAAGAGCAAGATTGCTGTGGTCAGATGTGTGGGAAACAGGACTCCACACCACAGTACCAGTGAAACCAGCTTGAGTCTCATGGACATGTACTAAAAAGAAGTCTGATAACCAAAAATCATCTGTTCACAGGCAGTAAAGCACTTGAGGACTCCTGAGTTTAAGCCTTATGTTATCTTTGTGAAGCCTCTCATTTCAGAAAAGAAAAAACATGTCTTAAAATCTCACATGTCAGAAGAAATCTCATCCCCCCTTGTAAGTATTCCAACTTCTAATCTCTCCTTTTTAGACATGAAAGAAGTCTTGGGGCTAGCACTTCAGTTACATGAAAGAGCTCCTCTTCCATAACAAGAGTTAAAGTGGGGCACTAAGTAGGTCCTGTAGCCTTTCAGATGGAACTTCAGAATGGAATTTTTGATTCCTTTAAAGTTTTAAAGTGACATGAAGCCAAGTGCCAGTATTCCATATGGATCTGGGTGCACCATCAAGGCTGCAGCAGGGGAAGTTGCTGCTGAACTCGGATAAACCAAAAATCATTTTACATTTCTGATGAGCAGCCCATCAAAAGGTAATTTTGTTACACCCCCAAGTGACACCCACACCAGTGTCAGCCAGTGTTTAATGGTGCACTCACAAAACACAGTGTGTGGATGTCTTTAGGACCAAACCTAGATCAGCTGCAGCTTGGTGATGTGTAAACCTGAACAGAGTGCATAATGTCATTACTTTGGGTAACCTGAACTCAAATTTATGTTACAGAACTTAGTTCACTTGGTTTTTTGTAGGAGTGTGCCCCTTGTTGACAGAGTGATAAAACTATCCTTTGTCTCCCTAAAAAAGGAAAGAAGCCCAGAAGTTTCTTTCATCAGTTAGGTGAAAAGCCACCTCGTAGGACCTTGGAAACTTCACCTCAAGCTTAAGGGTAGCTAATTGGATAGAAGCCAAAATGTCTTGCCTGAACAATTGGGTAGAAAAAGAAGAGAACAAAGGAGTAATGGCTTTTGTGAGGTGTTTTACCACGAGCAAGATCTCTTGCACTTTTTTCTGTTTGTTATTTTGCCTTTTATTAAACCTTTTTGTTTCCAACACTGCAGCAGAAGCCATCCTGCTTATTTCTATGCCTCCAAAGGTAGCTGAGCTATCTTGGGTATCTTATATTCCTCTGAGAGCTTATTAGACCTGGCTCGAGGAGGAAAATACAATAGTTTTTGTGTAAGCCCTCAAAAATACTGAACTTGGACAATGTATGCAGCATTTCTTTTCAGTTTTTGAGGAGTGTGGTTCCCATATCTTGGGTTAGGCAGCAACTCTAACTACATTAAATTAATTATTACCATTTTATGTCCCTCCTGTAACATATTTTCCCCCTTCCCTGAGGCCCCTTGCATTTTTTGGAACAGCTGCTTGTAGCATACTGCTCCTTGATCTCAGTTTTAATATCTTCAATACCTTTTCCTAATGGTAGCAGCTTTTGTGACATGTTCTCAGAGTAATGACTCATTGTGCTAATATACTTTAAAATGCTAGTAACCAGAAGGACATGCTGTAAATTTCATACCAACATCTTGTGTTGATCAGCAGGATGAAGAACAGCAGGAAATTATAAATTCAGCAGCATTCATTGAAGAGCAGTATGGCCATTTAATTGACACTGTACTGGTGAAAGAAGATCTCCAGAGTGCATGTAATGAGCTGAAAACTGTGTTAGATAAACTAAACAAGGATTCATTTTGGGTGCCAGTCAGCTGGGTTAGGTCATAGCTTGTTACCATGTTTAAGGGAAAGACTGTATAAAAATGTCCTGTAAATACATAAATTAGAAAAGGGAAGTCATTGAATTTGCTTCAGAACTGCTGGTCTTACCTAGAAGGCAATAATTAAAGACTGTATGAGGAAAGACTAAACAATGTCACAAGCTGACACTGCCTTTCTGAGTCAAAATTTTGAATAGCAGCTGTCATTTAGAAGTTGATACTCAGACCAAATAAGCCAGTCCAGTCTTTTACTGATCTTCAGACTGGAAATAGTGCAGAGGTTCCCATACTTGCAAAGCATTTTGTGCTGAGACACTGACAAGATGGAAGGTTTGTCCTTTGGCCACAGATTTTGTGGCTAGATTTAAAACCTCAGAATAAAGTCCCCCTTGGGAACAAGCTCCTTCAGCTGGGTGGGAAATGTTCTTTGGAGAGAGGTTTCACCATGCCAGTTAGTCACAACTGGCCAGCAAAACATGCTTCCCTTCACACAGAAGCATTAATTGCAAATCCTTTAGTTAGGCACTAAAAACCAGCTATAGAAAGGGTTTTTTATGCCCATCACATTTCCCAGTACTCCAGATTGTCTTGCACAGCTCACAGGTATTGTTGCTCATGCACAGCTTATGCCAACTTTCAGTCACACATGCTGAACAAGCTCTGAGTGTACCTGTATGACTGGCCAGCTCCTAAAACCCAGATTTTTACAGTGTACATGAAAACAACTGCATATGGTTCTAAAACAGGACAGTTAAGAAGCTTTGTTTCTGCAAAACACCTTTGCCTGTGCTACCTGGTGGGACACAGCCTTGACACCAATGGAACAGCTCCAAAAAGGGCACTAAAAGGAGGAGCTACAGGTCAAAATCATCATCCTTCCAGCATTTATTCACTAGAAGGAGGAGCTACAGATCAAAATCATCATCCTTCCAGCATTTATTCACTAGAAGGAGGAGCTACAGATCAAAATCATCATCTTCCAGCATTTATGACTACTTCTGTTCCAAATCTGGTAAAGGTTTCCAGAGCATCTAATTGGCCTGAAGAAGAAAACTGTTAAGAGGACCTTGTATATATTTGGGGAGACTTGAATATACAGTATTTTTGAGTGGGTCTTAGGAAGATGCAGAGATGATTCTGGAAGTAGCTGTGCTTTATCCTTGGGGGATTTAAGGGGAGAGCATTGTACAGGTGCATGTTGGCTGTAACTAGTTCCTGTTTTCACTTGCCTGCTGAGGTCTGATATTTCCTGTGTATTGTGCCCTTTAAACAAGACCTTTTGGTGTACCAGTCCTGTTCTTTATATCTTAACAGATAATGTTCTTCTTGTTCCATGACATTTAGCAGAACTAAAAGTTGCATATTAAAAGTACATTTCTTACATACCAGTGTCACTGAATCTACATTATGTCAAGCCCAAAAAGCTGTGTAGAAGAATCACCCTCATCCATCCTCTCCAAATGACAACTTTCATGTCTGGTTCTGCCCATGGCCATTGAGGTTCTGTTCCCACTGCTACAAAAACAAGAACTTTTCCTGCACTTGTCAGTGCTGCAGCCTGGTGACCTCAAAAAATGCTGAGGACTTGTCCACATGCACTGGGCTCTGCAACCTTGTGCTAGCACAGCCACCAAAAAGGATTTGGCTTCTTAGAGAGGCAATTCATCACAGATGTACCTTGATCCTAGGAAAAACTGGAGGAAATATTTTTAAAATTATTTCAGTAACAGCATTTCAAACTAAGTCATTTTATAAAAATAATAAATGGCCAGACTGATCTCACCTTAGGTCTGTATTTCAGGTTACAAACAGATTTTTAGAGTGTGCAAGACATGAACATATTTAGAAGATTCAGATTTAAGTTAAAATGCTAAGGGTCAGAATTTATTCAAAGCAAAGTTGCTATCATAACATCTTAAAATATTTTGCATGACTAGCAGTAAATAAAGCTGTATGTTTGCTTTATGATCTAACATAGTCTAAACAGTAGAAATATGCATTAACAGAAGCAAGGCACGAGTTACATCTGAAATTTTCAGTTATTTTAATGTAAGTTAGCAAAATACAATATTGCCATTAAAAGTGTAAATGACATAAAGGTAACTCCATAGTGGGACTGGTGACAGACTCACCCTAGTGCAAAGTCTCCCATAGGCAGCACATTTCCTGTGAAATTGAGTTTTATCAATTTCTGATACAATTTTTTATCAATTCTGATAAATTTTTTTATTTTATCTGTGGTTGCTGGAAGAGGACAAGGGTTTGCAGACAACCTCAGTGACTGCAAAACCACAGCCATGGTGTGACAGCCCAAAATGATGAGTGCAACTCATCCCTCAGTGCAAAGAGAACAGCACAGGGTCACCTTCAGTGTCCTGCACTTCTCCTGACGAGTGTTAAAATACACATACTCTTCATCACAGCCCTAAAATTAACCATAACTCAGCTTACTGTCTGGGGACATGTAGCAATTTTGACTTTAAAATTATCCAAAATCAGGAAATTCTGTCCACTGATCAAACTCCTGCTCAGTAACTACATGAAGGTAACTTGGGTGCCTCAAAGCCTCCCATGCCATCCAAGGGAAGAGAAGCTTCTCAATAATATTCCAGAATTGAATACCACCTAATTTATGCTGAGGCAGGAATTGCAGCAAAAGTCCATGTTGAATGTCATACAGCAAAGCACAATTCTCTGCAAAGCAGCACTATGATTTAATAGTGAAAAATCTGAGAGCTACCAAAAAAAAATACCTGCAGACAGCAGTTGTGCAAAAGGGAAGGAGAAACTGTATTTTGTTAATGAATAAAAATGTATTTTGCTAATGAGTTTGTGTTTTGGATCTGCACAACTGATAGCACATCAAACATGGCACGGATTGGTGCTTGGAATCTCATCCCCACCTCTTTTTTTTCCTCCAGTCAGGCAGAACAGCCAGCTGTACATTTAAATAAGTGCACAGTAGGCACCACAAAACCCTTTATTCTGCTGTGCTGGTGATTCCATGAGCTGGACTCCCTTTTTCCCTGTGCCTTTATCCCAAAGATCTGGAGTCTGCAGGATCTTTAGGACCAGCTCCTCAAAGGCATGCTGCACTCCATCCTGTGTTTTGGCACTGGTCTCTGGAGGAGGAGGGGAAAAAAAATTATTTTATCTTACTTGCAGGGAGTGTATTCCACTTAGGAAAAATGTATTTTGGGACCAAGAGAAGCTGGGAGTTTTTTAATGAGTGAACCTCCTCTCCTTTCTCTCTTAAAGGTGCACTTAAGTTGAATAGGATAAACAGAAATACATCCCAGTCTGAAGTACCACATTTTTCCACCAAAAAGAAATCCACAGTTGTCCATTTTTTCCATAATGGAGAGAAAGAAATTGTTCTCAGGTTGTGACAGTAAACCTAGAAGATAATTATTCCATAACAAAGCTGAGAAACAAAGAGGGAATTGCATGTTGTCCCCTATGTGTTTCAATTTCTCCTAGAAATCTTTTCAAGAAGCTTTCTCATTAGAAACTCAGTTTCTTCCCCACCTTTCTATCTTCACATTGCACATTTTATTGTTGCTCTAAGAATATTGTCTTTTATGCAGCTGCAACAGAAACTTGGAAATGAAAGATCAGCCAAGGTCCTTGCAGACACCAGTAAGGAGGAAAAAATCAGTTTTCTGGGCTCTGAATTAAAAAATCCTGCTAGTTTCAAGAGAATATCAAATTCATGCCTGTACAGTATATGCAGTAAATCTGTTTCAGAGAAAAGTGCTTCTGGTTGCAGTCAGTGCAGAAGCTGAAACCTCCATCCCTGTGCATAAATTACAGCAGAAGGAACCCATATTTGTTAGGTATTGTTAAAAAGATAGCAGCCCATCGACCTGAAATAAAATTGTGCATTCATGCTTGGCAATACCAAAACAAACATCTGAATGTGGAAGTTTTTGTCCCAGAGGTGCATACCTATAAAAAGCAGTGAGTGTTTCCTGGCAAGCTGGAGCCCTTCTTTTCTCTCCACTTCACGGTCAGGCTGCAGAGACAGATGAAGAACAAGACTGAAGTAAGCTACACTTGCCACTTTTAAAAAGTACCCAGAAAAACAGCACTGAAATGAGAACAAAGCCTCAAAAATGAGGTTTTATTGAAAGGAAAAAATGCCTGTGATATGTATTAATCAACTGGATTTTGCCACTCTGTAGCTCACTGCCAGCCTGGCTGTTAGGGGGTCAAACTGAACAGCAGCCACATCAAACCACAGAATCACAAAATCACCAGGATCATCCAAGTCCAACACAGCCCCAGAACCACCCCATGTGCCAAATCAGCAGGAATTGAATGTGTTGCTGTGTTCTGAATCAAGCAGAAGAAGAAAGGCCAATAGTCAGTCCCAGGTTCTGAAACTGGGCACACTGGGAGGGGCAGAGGAGAACCCAGCTCAGCAGAGCCACACTCAAAGCCTCGCCTTGCAAAGCAAAAGCAGAACACCTCACTATGCAACAGGCATCTAAATGTGTCAGGAGAGCCCAGAAACAAGCAGCAAGGAGTGCTCCTCACAGCCACACTCCCCAGCCAGCCACAGAGCTGAGCTCCCCTTCCCCACCCCCTGGCCTTCACCAACAGGCTGCTCAGAAAGCAGCAGCTGTGCTGCAGGTGAGGTCAGGGCTGGACAGCAGGCTTTGGGCAGAGCCTTGGGCCATCTTAATGCAATTATCATCAATTGCATCTCTCCAGGAAAGCTCCCATTAAAATCTTCAGCAATATCTGCTTCTAAAATGATAGAAGTAGAGCCTTCCCAACTGAGTTGCAGAGTAAATTGCCTCCTGACACAACAGCTGTGTAACAGCACTTCCCTCACATTTACACACTGTGAGGAATAAATAATCCAGGGAAGAATGGAAAAAGATGCATTCCCAAACTGACCTTATCAGTTTTATTGCCAACCAACATCTTCACAGTGCTGCTGGAGGTGGTGTACATTTCCACCTCACTCAGCCATCTTCCTAGTCCTGTGAAAGTGGCTTTTCTTGTAACATCATACACTGAGAACAGAGGAAAAGGAGCTTAACAGCTGTAGTCTTCACTGTGACAGAACCTCATCCATCCACACTTCCTAACTACTGCCTGGAAAAAACAAAAGGTACCAGGGAACTACAGAAAGAGGCATCAACCACACGCTCCTCCCAGAGCTGGAACACACTGGGCTGTGCTCGCCCAAAGTCAGCTCAGGATTACAGAACACGAGCAAAAATCAGATTTACCAACAGAAACATTCTACCTGTTGCTAGTGCTGACTGGGCCACACAGAATATTTTAAAATAGGTATTCTGTCATCTAATTTTATGTGTAAGTACATGCACACGCTGCTGCTAAAACATGGAATGAGTTCAAAGCTACTTTTGGGCACTGGTGACAATAACTGCATTTACATAAATCACTAAGGTTTAAAAATCATAGCAAGAATATTTTGTACAGCAGAGTTAAGGTTAGCCTTCACAAGTCCTGAAAGGAAGAACCCCTTTGTTTTCTATTTGCTGTTGTTACTGAGAAAGGGCTTTGTCTGTGTACAAACCTCAAGTCTTACCATAATCACAATAATCACATCAATAGTTTCTGGGGAAAAGAAGAAGTGAAAACATCATGGGAAAAGAACACAACACAACCCTGCTTAGCCTTATTACCAGAAAACCACCCATGTAATAGCTACAAAGCTAATAATTCATCCACTCAACAGCCTGCAGCATGACATCTCTGTCTTTTTAATAAAATACTTTGAAGCAGCAGTATTTCCTGCCTGTGGTTTTGCACATTCAGTGTTTGAGCTAATGAGGAGTAATGTTGTAAAAGCCACAATTATTCCTCTGATTATCTTGGATAACCTCCTTTTGCAAGGACATGCACATTCAGGAGAAATAAAGACCGCAATTTCTGTAATCATGCTTTTTTTTTCCATTTATTTCATACCTAAAACAACCCCTTGAGCTCCTCTGTAGTAACTGGGAGTCACTGTTCTGAAACGCTCCTGTCCTGCTGTATCCTACAGAGGGAGGGGGAAAACCCCAAACAAACATCAAATACATTTAGAACAACAACAAAAAATGGTATTTTAAACAAAACAAGATGAGCAAATTTAAAATGTAAAATTTTTAATCCTGAGCAGTAAGGATACATGAAATATTAAGATGTGAGAATGAGGAAAGCAGTCAGGAAACAGCAGCAGAAAATGGCTGAGGAGTGGGAGAAAAGCATGGAGAGGACTTGACTGGAAGCAAAAAGGACAAACAGACACCTGGAACGGGAGTGAGACTACAGGAAAGGAAAAGGGACTCCAGAGAAATATGTAAAAGGCAAGCAGCCACACAGGTGGGTTTAAAACCAACTGAACTGAGATGAGGAATAACTGATTTTCCAGTGAGAGACTCTGCAGGAAAGGAGACTGGGAGGCTCCAAACATCTCCCTCTGCTCCTTTACCACAAGACAAATCCACTTATAAAGAACTACTTCAATGCTGCTGCAAACCTAAGTAGGCAAGAAACTTAAAATCAGTAGTTTCATTCAATTACTGCAATATGTCTGACTTAAACTCATGAATAAGTAAGGAACTAAGTATAATATGAAATTCAGAACAAACAATAAGGAGGCAACAAATCACTCAAATATTATTTTTTGAAAAAATTTTATTTCCTTTTACGTACAGCTTACAGTTGACAGTCTAACAGCTATATTGTAATTTATTTATTTATTCTTTGTTTTTAAAAAATACACTAAAACTGGGACTACTTACCTAATTCAACCCATTGTTACTAGGGAGATTGTATTTTAGTCCCAATTACTTAATTAGTAATGGCATTTTCTCAACTACCTATGACCATACATACAAAATCTCTCCTTCCTAAGGTTCTTTCACTCCACTTAGAAGAATTTAATGTTTGTTTTACATTACAAATTATCCTGATCACACAGCTGCAATCTCATTTCAGCCTGCAGATGCTGACAATACAGCACCAGGAAGTTCAGAACAAATGATCGAGGTTTCCCAGTTAATCTGAATCAACCTTTAAATAATTCAAGAAAAAGTTTGTGGGGTTTTTTTGGCATGATTTTAACAAAAATAAAGCACAGTTGCTACACAGCCCCTACAGACAATCCCCCAGCTCCTTACCCAGAGCATCACCTTGCTCCTGGCTCATGCAGGCACCCCTCTCCCATGGATGGGTTTGTCTTTGCCTGAGGTGGGATTAATCCAAACAGTCCTAAAATACCTTTCATGTGTACCACGGGGACTTGATGTAAAAACATAACGGGGAAAAGAACACAACACAACCCCTGATTAGCCTTATTACCAGGAAAAAATCCATGTGATAGCTACAAAGCTAATAATTCATCCACTCAACAGCTTGCAGCATGACGTCTGTCTTTTTAATTTAAAATACTTTGAAGCAGCAGTATTTTCTGCCTGTGGTTTTGCACACTCAGTGTTTGAGGCAATCCCCCAGCTCCTTACCCAGAGCATCACCTTGCTCTGCTTCACTCCAGTTCTGCTCCTGGCTCATGCAGGCACCTCTCTCCCATGGATGGGGTCTGTCTTGGCATGAAGCAGGATTAATCCAAACAGTCCTAAAACACCTTTCATGTGTACCACGGGGACTTTATCTCCAGATGCGTGCAAGGGTTCAGACTGGGCAGCACCAGCCCACTGATGCACCCTCGGCTGGGGACCGTGCAGGTGGATGCCTCTCTCTCACGCTGACATCTTTACTCAGAGCCTTGGAGAAACAAAGAGCACTCAAAGCCTCCACTGGAACGGAAGGAAGTGCCAAGCCTTGACTAAGGAAGCCTTTACAAGTGTTTTGTTTGTCTGCGACACTCCTTCTACAGAAAATCTCAACACGCAGAAGACTTTAGCAAAGAGAGAGGAGGAGCAGGAAGGAAGCGAGGAAACCACAAAAAGGAGCTCTTGAAGATTGTACACCTCTCAAAACCCAACACGCCCCATCTGCCTGGAACAAAACCTACCCATATGGCCAGCTGTACTGCACGGCCCTCCACCACCATTTTCTTCATTTTAAAATCAATACCTAAGAGTTAGAAGGGGAGGCTCGTCAGAAGGAACTGCGGAATGCCCGCCCTGTGGTTTTGCACACTCAGTGTTTGAGGCAATCCCCCAGCTCCTTACCCAGAGCATCACCTTGCTCTGCTTCACTCCAGTTCTGCTCCTGGCTCATGCAGGCACCTCTCTCCCATGGATGGGTTTGTCTTTGCCTGAGGTGGGATTAATCCAAACAGTCCTAAAATACCTTTCATGTGTACCACGGGGACTTGATGTAAAAACATAACGGGGAAAAGAACACAACACAACCCCTGATTAGCCTTATTACCAGGAAAAAATCCATGTGATAGCTACAAAGCTAATAATTCATCCACTCAACAGCTTGCAGCATGACGTCTGTCTTTTTAATTTAAAATACTTTGAAGCAGCAGTATTTTCTGCCTGTGGTTTTGCACACTCAGTGTTTGAGGCAATCCCCCAGCTCCTTACCCAGAGCATCACCTTGCTCTGCTTCACTCCATTTCTGCTCCTGGCTCATGCAGGCACCTCTCTCCCATGGATGGGGTCTGTCTTGGCATGAAGCAGGATTAATCCAAACAGTCCTAAAACACCTTTCATGTGTACCACGGGGACTTTATCTCCAGATGCGTGCAAGGGTTCAGACTGGGCAGCACCAGCCCACTGATGCACCCTCGGCTGGGGACCGTGCAGGTGGATGCCTCTCTCTCACGCTGACATCTTTACTCAGAGCCTTGGAGAAACAAAGAGCACTCAAAGCCTCCACTGGAACGGAAGGAAGTGCCAAGCCTTGACTAAGGAAGCCTTTACAAGTGTTTTGTTTGTCTGCGACACTCCTTCTACAGAAAATCTCAACACGCAGAAGACTTTAGCAAAGAGAGAGGAGGAGCAGGAAGGAAGCGAGGAAACCACAAAAAGGAGCTCTTGAAGATTGTACACCTCTCAAAACCCAACACGCCCCATCTGCCTGGAACAAAACCTACCCATATGGCCAGCTGTACTGCACGGCCCTCCACCACCATTTTCTTCATTTTAAAATCAATACCTAAGAGTTAGAAGGGGAGGCTCGTCAGAAGGAACTGCGGAATGCCCGCCCTGGCAGCCCCCCGCATGTGCACGATCCCGGCTCCGGGCCCCAAAAAGAAGGAGCCAAGCAAGAAGGAGCCCAGCAGGAACAAGCCCAGCAAGCAGAAGCCCAGCAGGAACAAGCCCAGCCCCCGGGCTCACCGACGGTGGGAGTCAGGCGCGGCTCGAAGGCGCCGTCCGTGAACCTCCGCAGGAGGCTGTGGGGAGAGAATCACGGCCTGAGCCCGGGGCCGCGCTCGGGGTCCCCGCGCGGGCCGCGCCAGCACCTGGACTTGCCCACGCCGCTGTCCCCGACCAGCAGCAGCTTCAGGGTGAGGCCTGCGGGCTGCATCCCGCACCGCTCCGGGCCGGCCACCGCCGCCGCTGCGCTCCCCGAGCGGCCGCCCGCTGCTCCCAGCGCTGCGGCCCCGGCAGCTGCCGCGGCCCCGCCTCTGAGGCGGCGGCCGGGGCCGGGCGGGGCGGGAGCGGGCCGGGCTGGAGCCGCAGCGCCAAGGGCTCCTGGCGGGCGGAGGCTCGGCCATGGGCGATTTCCAGATCTCGGTGGAGGAGCTGAACGAGCTCCTGTCTAACGGGAGCGGCTGCTACAGCCTGCCCAGCGCGCACAGCAACGAGGTGGTGCCGCGCATCCACGTGGGGAACGCGTGAGTGCGCCGGAGCGGGGCCGGGCGGGGGCGCGGAGCAGGCCCGGGGGGCGCGGTGCCCGGCGGGCCGAGGGGCCGGGCCGGGCCGGGATTTTAGGTTTGTACCTCCTAAAGAACTACAAGTCAAGATCACAGATTGTCACTAACTTACTTTGAAGCCAAACCAAATTAAATTTGTCACTGCCAGGACATGCACATCTAGAGATGAGTCTGAAATCATTCAGTGTCTGACAGCCACCACCTCCTTCATACTTGTAGTAGTTACAAAATAGTAGTAGTAGTTTTTCCTGGAAAAAAGGAAGTCATAGCTTGCAAGCTGGTTTGTGCATTAAATATTTTTTAAATAACTTTGAAGGTAGCTAGCTACTACAGAGCCATTTTCATTTTCAGTAATTTATTTTAATTACAGAGACTTTAATATGTTCACCTGCAGGGGTGTCCAGGAAGAGATGATACATGTATAAGTTGCACAGTGAAAAATCTCTGTCTAGTGGTAATCTTGACTGTTGAGAAGGACTTTTTATGTTTTTCGGGTTTTTTTCAGAAATATCTGAAGCACCAGTGCAGTTTGTAGCACAGGAACAGTTCAGCTGCTAGTTGGATAAACAGAAAACATGCAGTTGTATTGTCAGTGTTTTTAAAAGAATGCTGAAAAGATGTGGAGGGCAGCTAAAAGTAAGAAATAACTTTGTGGCTGAAAAAACTATTTCACAATTGGAACAGATAATCTACTTAATTTGTCAAGACTTAAGAGGCAATAATATCTTTGAAGCATCCACAGAGAGTTAAGGTAATGCTGAGGACTAGTTGAATAGATGGATTTCCATTAAAATTTGGTGACTGCATGGTGAAGTTGATATTCTCTAACTGGAAAAAATACTAATTTTTAAGAGGATTTTTTGTATCAAGTGGAGCTGTGGTATATTCTGCACTGTAAGCAGCATTTGCTATATTAGTTATTCTGAAAGAATATGAATCTCCAACACCATTTTGAGCTTCATGTCCATCTTTTTTCCTCTTGCTGTATGCAATATAAGGTCACGTTTTAGATAACAACAACAGAGATTTTATAACAATAAAAATTAACAGAGCAGCCAGAGTAGGGGGATTGGAATGCCAGCACATGTTATAAAAGCAATAGAATTTGAGCAGGAACTCACAGAAAAAAATTCAAACCTCTGAGTGAGATTCAGAAACTTCTCTTGGTTACCTTTGGGAATATTTTGCACAGCAGTGCTGCTGTCTCTCCTTAGGAGTAACTCATCTTTAGATAAAAAATGACAGCAAAGAGACATTGAGGCTGATGAGGTTAAATTGGGTCATAGTAAAATAACAGTTTATCTGTCAAGTGACTTCAAGTTGCAGGCAGAGCCAAAGTAATGGTTCTCCCAGGCAATACATGAAAGTCAAAATGAACGAAAATGCAGAGATTAAATGATAAAATATTTTTTAAATTATGGGTTTCCATATTACCATAGGCAATTCTGACCTCTCAAGAAGATTAGGCAAAACAAGAATTGTATGGGTGATAGACTAGCACAATGATATCTTTTTCAAACAGTAACAGAGTAACAATTGGGGTTGCACTGCAAGTGCATATAATTTTGTTTCTGTACAAGTGGAGATGTGTTTCAGTGTAACATCTTAATCTGACCAGAAGGGTTGGACAGAATTCATTTTTATCAGGATTGCATAAAAATGGGGACAAGAGGGAGCAGTCAGCACCCTGCAGGGTGGGAGGCTTTTTATCCAGAGCAGCCATTCTTGTGAAAAGCAGTGTTTTACCTGGAAATGAGCAGGCTTAGATTTCTGAACTCTGACTAAAGGAATTTGTTTATGGGGTTTTTCCCAGATGCTTGGAAACCTGTAATGCTTCTGGCCATGTCTCCAGAACTGTACTTGGTAAAAATGTCCTGGGTTTGAATGCCCAGTCTTACTTTTTCTGTCTGCCTTAATGTATGTGAGTAACCCAGGAAGCAATTCTTTATTTTTAATGTGCTAGAAGTGCAGGTGTGTTGTAAGGAGTATGGAGGGCATTCTCCCAAAATTAGTGTTAAATTCAGTGACTCTAAGGGAAGTATTGGTAAGGAAACAGTTTTGCATGGACAGGACAGTGCAAATTAAAATGTGTTAATAGGCTGGCATTTTTTGCCACTAAAAATTTGGTTTATTTGCTTTTAATTCCATATGCCAATACTTCACAGCCTCGTGTATCCTAAATTGCTGATGAATGGTTCTCCAAAACCTGTTTTGTGGGTGGCCGGTAAAATAATCTGTGTTCAAAAGAAACACTTCTTACTGGTGTTTCTCACAGGATGAGGAACTCTGAATCTTCCATATTGAGGATGGACAAGGTTCTGTGGTTTTTTTTCAGGAACCAGATGAAGCTGATGCTAGCATCTCTCTGCTATTTGAAGGAGCTAGCATTTCACCATCCAACATGATGCAGCTGGAATGAAATGTTAAGGATGAGAGAGATCCAAGGACTGTTTGCAAAGGGAGAAACAAATGGCATACAAATTCTCTCTTTTTCACCTCTAGCTGTGTAAGAAAATCACTTGTAAAATCTGCAAAAAGTCATTCACTGGGAATGAGTTTGCCTCCAGGGAATCCAGTCTGTTGCCACATTCAACCATGATTTCAGGATGGGAGTTCCTGTTGATGCTGAACAGTCGCATACTTATAATCTATATAATATTATATAATCTATATAATGTTAATTAAACCATATTCTCACCCTTCTAAGCATAGGAACTCACCACTGAATTAACACTTTCTGGTTTGGCCTTGCTCTGTAGGATTTTGTGTTGAAAGCAGAATTCTCCAGACACTGAAACTTCTCCCCTGGCACAGATGATGTCCTGCCAGATGGAAAATCTGTCAGCATTTGTTTGGGTAATGAAGTCTTACAAATATTTGGTTCATTGCCATAGTTGCTTGGCACAGACAGCAGAAAATGTAGAAGCTTCAGTCATGCATAAATCTTCATCTGCTTTCACTAGAATTTAAGGGGTGTGCAGTCATCAGGAAGAAAGGAATTCTCAAGATGTTCATGGCCTTGAATTACATCAAAATTGTGAGTGAATGGACTCAGAGATTCATACAGATGTAAACTGACTAATTTGGGTGTTTATTTTAAGTTTTTAGATTACCTAAGTGTCCAGCCAAAAGCCCTGGATGTATTGCCATCTCACAGAAACTTGTCCAAAATGATACTGCACAAATGCTTATCTGGAGCTCAGCTTAATATTAAGACTCCTTGTATTTGCAATTTATGAGTTGAGCTATGGGGAGCTTTAAAAAAATACTTCTGTTTCCATATCCAGTTAAACACATACTGAAAGCTGCTTTTAAAACCAATCTGTCTAGGCTACCTCTTTTCACAGAGGTGCAGGAACTGAGTTATCCTTCAGCTCTAGCTTTCTGTCACATTCTGCTGATGTTGAGCAGTGGGGCTTGGATTTTACTAGGAGGCCACACAGAGTGATAAAACATGTGGGGCTTTTTTTCTTCCCAGGAAAGTGAGGCAAATATTGCAAGTGACATACGGAAATAATGAGACTCAGAATGAAAAGTAGTGGGATTATGGCAAAAAGGAGTCAATTCTCTCCTGATATTACTTTATTGTTAGCTCCTCTTACTGTGGATTGCATTCCAGGGCACAAGCAGAGGTTGGTGCATGGTCAGTTGTGTTACTGAGCAGGGTTGTTTGCCATTTTACATCCTGGAGCTTTAATTAAAGCTTATGGCATTATTACTGGATCTAATTAATTGTCATAATCAAGCCTGAAAGACATGATTATTATCATCCAGCTCAATTGTTCACTAATAGGGTAAGTCACTTTTAGCCACCTGAAGCTCATGGTTTTGCTACAATTATTGGGAAAACTGAGGAGTTGGAAAGGACTTAGCTTCCACTGAAAATGCATTCACTACATACTAATTGTAGTTTATGCCATCATACTCATGTCTAAGTTGTGTTTAGTAGCAGGGTACTGAGCAAACCTCATGTGTTCCATTTCCCTGTGGGCACTTATAAGCATTCCTTCCAAAAATGAGAAGAGGCTGAGCCCTCATTTTGTGCAGTCTAGGAGCTTCTGTGCTCTAGAAAGTATTAGCACTTCCAACAGGATATTTCTGTAAAACAATAACTAAGTAAGAGAATATCCATTGGTACCTAAAAGTACTGAATGCTTTCTTAAGCACTTTAGCATCTTAAACATCACTCATCTGGATTCTCTCACATCCAGATACTGATTTCAGCTAAGGCACTGAATTTTAACACTTGTGATCAAAAGACTGAATGGTGTCTCTGTGTTGGTGGCCTTTGCATAGCCTTGACAGATCTTTCCATGACTTCAGAGGTGTTGAATAGCACAGGGCATAGGACTACACCTCTCAGTAGCCCTCAGATGAATTTTTTGAATATTTAACTAACATTTACTCAGTTACTTTCTTCCTGTGGCCTGATAAGAAGCCACTGCTGTTTCACAGTGCTTAAAATTGCCCCCTAAAATGTCAGTTTGTCTGGGCTGCCTGCTAAAGTAGCAAGTACTGCTTAGCAAGCTCTGCAACACTGGTACCTGACAGTAGAGGCTTTTTATAACTGGTTTTTAAATTATTTTATGTGGATAACTGTTAACCTTAGAAGTAAATGTGTTATCATTTCCAGTATTTTCCTAGTTTGGTCAGAATTTTATGTTCAGAAAGTTAGAATTTTATGTCATAGTAGAATCTAACAGAGAGAGATTCATTTTCATGTGTGCATTCCTCAGTGTCAGCCAAGAAAGCAGCATTCTCTTCATGCACAGGTAGGGACCATGGCTCTGAATATTTTTGTGAATTTATAACCTGTAGCTAATTCATTTTTGGGCACAGTATATTTGGCATCTATTAACAGAAAAATCCACGGGTTTGGTTATCAATACCTAAATACTGAGGTGATTGACCAAATTCTAATCATTTTCTTGACACTTTTTGTCATGCAGGTTCATAGCCAAGAACATAATGAGGCTGCAGCGTCTGGGGATAACCCATGTTCTGAATGCAGCAGAGGGGAAATCATTCATGCATGTGAACACTAATGCAGAGTTCTATGAAGGCTCAGGCATCAGATACCATGGCATTAAAGCTAATGATACACAGGAATTTAACCTCAGTCGCTACTTTGAGGAGGCAGCTGATTTTATTGACAAAGCCCTTTCCCAGAAGGATGGTAAGGCAAACTGAAATACCTTTCTACCATGTTTTCTGTGCACTGCATATGTTTCTTAGTCATTTGCTGTTTAAAATGCTTCTTTGCTCTTATTATCCACAGAAGAACTAAATGAAAAATTCTAATAAAGGCCCTGAATCAGGCACAAGAAGGCACAGCTTAGTCTTGTGTTTATACAAGCAGATCTCCAGTACATGGCAGGGGGAAGTCTGTAGGGGTGACTTTGAAATGGGGAACAGCTGCTGCATCTTATTATAGTTTCTTTCTGGGAAGAGATGTTTTTACTTTTCCTTAGATGTTTTTACTTTTTTTTCTTTTCTACTAAAATATTCTTACAAAAATAAGTTAAGCGTCTAAAAGTTGTTTAAGGACATTAGAAATTACAATTTAAAGGCAGAAGTGATATAAGTAATACAAGTACTGAAGAGCAGTCACATAACCTGTTACATGGGGTTTTTTTCCAAATGTACAGTAAGAATACAGACTGTCACCTTAAATTTTATTACATTAAGTCATTACATTATTTTATGTGTTGATTGCCTCTATTTCCTAGGATTGCAGGAAAGTTGAAGGTTATATTTGCAATGTTGTTTATTGCTACATTTCTCTGTAGTGTGTTTCCTCAGAGCAGAAATCCTAGGACACAGTGCAGTGGGACAGATGGTGTTTGTGTTGTCTAGCTATTTCAACATTCCAGTTATTTCTGCACATGCTTAATTTCCTTCTTGCTTCGTGACTGAGCACTGAATAGGAGGAATGAGAACTCCCACAATTCTAGAAGTTCTGTCTCTGAAATGGGCAAAGGGGTTCTGGAGATGTGATGTGGGTTTTGACAGATGGAAATAAATTCTACATCCAGTTTGGTGGAGTATGAAAAATTCTGAAAATTAAATGCAGCTCTTGCAGTTAGCACTGTGACTCACTGGAACAGAGAGGAGAGAAGGGTTTGCTGTGCCATGACTGTACCTGCTCAATTTAATAGTCTCAGGGTCAGTAAATTCAGTCAGTCTGGATTTGCAGCAGTTCATTTGCTGATTCTTTCAGTCTTAGCAGTTGTTTACCACACCCACCACTGTTTTTTTAACTTGGTAAACAAAGGGGAGCCTTGGAGCTGGGTGATGTTGGAGTCAGTTTTAAGATTAACTGGCTACTGCAAATTGCTAGTTTTTTTTGACATTGAAGTGTAGAGTGAGGATAGTGAAGAGAAGAGGAATATAATAGTGTTCTCCTTCAATTTCATTCAAGTGTGCAGTGCCTGAAGTTCTGGAAGGCAGGTCTGGTATCCTGCAGGTCTGGAAGGCAGCTCTTCAGCCACTGCCTTCCACAGAAAAAGGCTAGAAACCTTTTGCTGCTGACCACTTGCTGAAAAATCAATTATCTTCCATGACTATAATCAAGAATGTCTAAATTTTGCTAATTTATGACTACAGGCTCTCAAGAAACATTGAGAATTAATTGTTTTCATTAATCATTACCATGATTTGCCTTGAGCTAAGAAGCTTTTGCTGTTTAAGGCAAGTGTGGTAACAGGATTTCTGTTGGTGTGGTTCAAAGCAAGTTGTGGTTATGATAGGAGTGTGTGTGTATGGTTCAGCTGTTTTCTTGTCTCAGAAAACAATTTACTCTGGACAGTAGACTGGGGCCACATATCCTACTGCATTTGGGAAGGAGAAAATTTCTGTGTCTGGAAAAGCAGGTCAAAAAGGAAGAAGCTGAGAAACAATAAAATCAGGTTAGATCTCTCAAAGGGAGCAGTGGCCTGCTCTTTTATTTTTGGATACCTCACTGTAGGATTTGCCCACGTGGTGGGTTAACCTTGGCTGGACACCAGGTGCCCACCAAACCATGCCAGCACATCCCTGCCTCAGCTGGACAGGGGAGAAACATAAAACAAAAGTCTCATGGGTCAAGATAAGGGCAGGGAGATCACCCAGCAATTACCATCACAAGCAAAAGATACTCAACTTGAAGTTAATTTCACTTAATGCCAATCAAATCAGAGTAGGGGAATGAGTAACAAAACCAAACCTTAAAAGACCTTTCCTCTACCCTCCTTTCATTCCACATTCAGCTTCATTCCCTGTTTTCTCTGCCTCCTCATGCCAAGCAGCACAAGGGGGACAGGGAGTGGTAACTGCAGTCAGTTCATCACGCTTTTTTGATGAACACACACCTTCCTCTTCATTCTCTTCCCCTGCTCCAGTCTCACCCACAGGAGACATCCAAGAACTTCTCCCATGTGAGGCCTCCCCAATGGCTGCAGCTTTGCATTACCTGCTCCAGGCTGGATCCCTCCTTCCATGGGGCACAGTCCTTCAGGAGCAGTTTGCTTTAGTGCAGGGCTTCCACAGGTTCACAAATGCTGCCTGAAATCCTGTTCCAGCATGTGCTTCTCCATCCATGGAGCCACAGGTCCTGCTCCAGTGCAGCCTTCCCATGGAGTCATGGCCATTTCCCCTGGCTCTGGCACTGGCAGGGGTCCCCCACAGGCTGCAGGGGGGTGTGTGCTCTGCTCTGGACCTGCATGGATTGCAGGGCACAGCATGGTCACCATGGTTCTCCCCACAGGCTGCAGGGGATCTTCTCTCCAGTGCCTGGAATTCCCTCTCCTCTTCTGTTGTCACTCACCTGGGCGTCTGCAGAGGTTTTTTTCCCCCTTCTTAAATATATTACCCCAGAGGTGCTACCACTATCACTGGATCCAGCTGGCTCTGGCTCTTTTGGACACGGGGGGAAGCCTCTGGCATCCTCTCACAGAAGCCACCCCTGTGCTCCCCCCACCACCAAAATGTTGCCATGCAAACTGAACTGAACCCACCTAAGATGTAGAGTGAGTTCCCTAATCAATCAGCTGGAAGCATTTTGTTGGTGCTGACAAACAGCATGGTTAGATATTTCTGCCTCTTGTCTCTGCAGAGCAGGCAGCTTCATCTACTTGAGTGTTGATGTGGCTCCATAAACAGCCAAAGTGGCCAGGTGTGCTGCAGCATGCAGTTAGTGTAGCAATGCACAGAAAGGCTGGGTATCTTTGAAGAGATGCAGTACATGCCAAACAGCATATTTGTTTTCAGTGTATTTTAAACTTCATTTATTTGTGCTCTTTGGTACTGGTCATCTTTAGGGGCAAAGCTTGTCAAACCCAACAAAGACTGGAGAAGTGCAGTGAACAGACATAGTTTGGTTATTGTGGTATAGTAGCAAATCTGTTTCAATGAGATTGTTTGACATGCAGCCTATTTATTTTTTCTTTTGCATTACCCTTGTTCACACACTGTGTAGCTACTACCAGTGTGAACACCTTTCTCCCAACTCCAGCATGTCTCCTGTTGCATTTCAGTTCTCAAGCTGTGAAAGGACTCTTATCAATACACTTATCAATACACAATATCCTAGCTGTTTCCTGTAACAGCATGGGGTTTAGGTGTGGTTACTGCTACCTCTATCTTATTTCCCAACAAGCACCTGGCTCTGGCACTGGCAGGGGTCCCCCACAGGCTGCAGGGGGGTGTGTGCTCTGCTCTGGACCTGCATGGATTGCAGGGCACAGCATGGTCACCATGGTTCTCCCCACAGGCTGCAGGGGATCTTCTCTCCAGTGCCTGGAATTCCCTCTCCTCTCCTGTTGTCACTCACCTGGGTGTCTGCAGAGTTTTTTTTTCATGTGTTCTCACTCCTCTCATTCACCTGCTGTTGTGCAGCACATTTTTTTCCCCCCCTTCTTAAATATATTACCCCAGAGGTGCTACCACTATCACTGGATCCAGCTGGCTCTGGCTCTTTTGGACACGGGGGGAAGCCTCTGGCATCCTCTCACAGAAGCCACCCCTGTGCTCCCCCCACCACCAAAATGTTGCCATGCAAACTGAACTGAACCCACCTAAGATGTAGAGTGAGTTCCCTAATCAATCAGCTGGAAGCATTTTGTTGGTGCTGACAAACAGCATGGTTAGATATTTCTGCCTCTTGTCTCTGCAGAGCAGGCAGCTTCATCTACTTGAGTGTTGATGTGGCTCCATAAACAGCCAAAGTGGCCAGGTGTGCTGCAGCATGCAGTTAGTGTAGCAATGCACAGAAAGGCTGGGTATCTTTGAAGAGATGCAGTACATGCCAAACAGCATATTTGTTTTCAGTGTATTTTAAACTTCATTTATTTGTGCTCTTTGGTACTGGTCATCTTTAGGGGCAAAGCTTGTCAAACCCAACAAAGACTGGAGAAGTGCAGTGAATAGACATAGTTTGGTTATTGTGGTATAGTAGCAAATCTGTTTCAATGAGATTGTTTGACATGCAGCCTATTTATTTTTTCTTTTGCATTACCCTTGTTCACACACTGTGTAGCTACTACCAGTGTGAACACCTTTCTCCCAACTCCAGCATGTCTCCTGTTGCATTTCAGTTCTCAAGCTGTGAAAGGACTCTTATCAATACACTTATCAATACACAATATCCTAGCTGTTTCCTGTAACAGCATGGGGTTTAGGTGTGGTTACTGCTACCTCTATCTTATTTCCCAACAAGCATCTCCTGTGGAAAAGCCACTTGGGTGAGCATCCAGGCAAAGCAGTCCAGTCCACACCACACTCCCCATGGCTAGCTCAGCCAAGAGAGGCAGAAGGATAAATTCCAGTGTGGTTTATTTCAGCAGGCTGAAGGGGAACCAGAGACAAAAGACCTTGTGCTCTGCACAAGGTTGAGTAGGGGAGGGCTCTGAGGTGGCACAAAGGGTGTTGGCTTTCAGGGAGAATGGGGCTGGCCACCAGGGCCACCACAAGCAATGAGGAAACTGGGAATGGAGGAATTGGGAGAAGTTGGGACTTACGGGGAAAGGAACTGGGATGGATCAGTGTTAAGCAAGACTCCATTGGGAAGTTTTTTCTGTCCATCCAGGTGGGGAGAAACTATGGTCAAAAAGTCTCCAAGGCAATGCTCTGGGGATTTCCCTGAGGGGGAAGGATTCTGAGGATTCCACAACTCCCCTGTTTTTTCTTACTATGAAGACTTCCCCAATGGACTTCTGCAGACAGTTAACTAAACAGGGGAACATGAGTAAAATGATAAAAAAAAAATATTACAATCCAAAAAAATTCCTTGAACAAAAGATGAAATCCATGTTTCCCTAATTGTTTGTGGCATTCACATTCTCTGAAAAAATCCCTTTGCCCAGGATTTTTCTCCTGGGAAGCTGAGAAGCCTCAGAGAAAAAGGAAAACAATTCTTATCTCATTTGCTTCTCCTGTGTTGTGCTCCTTTGGAATGTGTTTGGAGATTGTTTACCCACAGGTGGTTGTTTCATTGGATTCTGCTGTGAGTTGTTTTGACTCCTTGGCCAGTCAGGGTCAAGCTGTGTCGAGACTCTAGAAAGAGTCACGAGTTTTCATTATTATCTTTTTAGCATTCAGTAAGTATCCTTTCTGTATTCTTTAGTATAGTATAGTATTTTTTAATATAATATGGTATCATAAAATAATAAATTAGCCTTCTGAGAACATGGAGTCAGATTCATCATTCCTGCCTTCGTTGGGGCATTCCCTGCAAATACAGTAATTGTTTATGTTAATTAGCCTATCAGGTCCAAGCTGTGTCCTGACTGTTGGGAGTCAGTCACGAGTTTTCTTCAGTACTCTTTGTAGTATAGATGTAGTATATCTAATGTAATATAGTTTTAATAAAGCAAGCATTCAGCATTCCAAAGCCTTGGAATCAGATGCCAATCATTCCCAGTGCTGGGGTGGCCTGATTTACAATAAAAACCCAACCATCTAATACGCATTTTTCACACGAGCGCGAAGAACACTTGAAGCAGCACATCCCTTCAAAATCTCGCCAGCCACATCCACGGTGCAAGCAGCAATAAAACCCTATTATTTCCTGTTGCTTTGCAGCCCCCCATTGCAGCATGACCCTGAGCTGTGACTGTCTCCCTGCAGGCCAGGTGCTGGTGCACTGCCGGGAGGGCTACAGCCGCTCGCCCACGCTGGTCATCGCCTACCTGATGCTGCGGCGCGGCATGGACGTGCGCGGCGCGCTCTGCGCCGTGCGCCAGCAGCGCGAGATCGGCCCCAACGACGGCTTCCTCCGGCAGCTCTGCCAGCTCAACGAGCGCCTGCTGAAGGAGGGCAAGGTCAAAGCCTAGAGCACAGCGCCACAGTGGTTTTGTTTGCACTTGGGCAGAGCTTTAGAGGATGGGTTAGGCGCTTTAGAGACGCAGATTGCAAGCACCGGGCTGGAATTCCTGCTTGTCTAGTGGAAGTGTCCGTCTGGAACTCTGCGATGCTTTCGAGATGGGACAGAACTGTGTCACTGTTTGGAGCTGTTGCCATAAAGGGATGTTTGTAGAGGGATGACTCCAGCTGTCTCCACACGCATTTCAGAGCCCCTGCAGACTCCATGGCATACGTGGTTTGCATTGACATTGAATGTGATTTGTTTAAGCTTTGTCTTTAGTCTCACCACGTTAGCAGTGTGCAGGAACACGTAATCACAGAATGATTGTATGCAGGTGCTTTTACTGAAGAGCTTTGGGTGTCAGGGGTCCAGACCCAAATCTGACTCCAGCATGGGTTCAGGATGAACACGTTTTTATACCCTTACTGTTATATAACTACCTATTAATTATTATACTTATATTGTTCTATTGCATACATTGATTTCATCCGAGCATGGATTTTTGTAATTTGACGAGCCCTTGGGGACACTGCACTGGGACTGTCCCAGTGCCACTCCCAGTGTCCCCAGTGCCACTCCCAGTGTCCCCAGTGTCCCCAATTCCCTGTTCCCAGTGCAAACTGGAGCTGGTGGAGGGGTCCCCTGTGTCCTGCACGGAGCTGGAGCTGTTTGGTGCTGAGGACGAGCCCTTGGGGACACTGGACTGGGACTGTCCCAATGTCCCCAGTGCCACTCCCAATCCAGAAATCCAATACATTGATTTCATCCAAGTGTGGATTTTTGTAATTTCCATCAAACCCCCCAAACATAATTTCTCATGATTCTTGTTACGATTAAACAATAATTATATCCAATTACCAAACAATCATCACATTTAACAATCACATCATTTATCATATAACAATCATATCATTTACCATAGTCATTAAATGATTATACAGGTGCAGTTTTGCATGATCCAGTAAAGCCTAACTTTCCCAGGGCCTACCAGGCCCAACCTTTCTTTCCAAGTCCCCTGAATATCCCATGATTTTAGAAACATTTTATCCCTATACTAAACCAGAGCACCAGCTCCCAAAACGTCCCACACATCCCTTCACTCACTCTTAATAGGAGCACTGTAATTTCTAAAGCTTCTTTTTCATGCACACAGGTGCCTAAAGTTTGAATGTAGGAGCTTCAAGGAATGGGAAGCGTATGTACAAATGCACAGATGCATTCACTTGGAAAACAAAGTGCATGCAGTGTTTTGTGTGGATTTATGCAATACACAGTGTGAGAGTAAAGCCACGTTGAGCCCATGCTTGATGCACACTGTGTTTCCAAGAATAGCTTTTTTATCTCTTCTGTTACAATGGACATTAAATAGTCTGTTATTAAATGCTCTTTTATTTTTATTTTGAAATCATACTAGGAAAAAATGTCAAGAGCAAATGCTGAGGGAAGAGCTCGAACAAGGAAGAAATAATATTAGTATTTAGAAGTGCTTGTGGTGGTTGTATAATTTAAGTATCCTAATATAATGCCTTTCAAAGCTTGTATGGAATTACAGTGTCTTTATCTCTTCTTTACTGTCACTGTTCAGTAACAGAATGGAATGACCACACGTGCAGATTCCTTCCAGCTTACAAAGCAGTTTGCAGAAGAACACTCTTGGCTTCTTGGATTGCTTGCATGGTATCATGAAATAAAAATGAGCATTGTAATGTACCACACTGTATAGGAAATATTTACATTCTGTTCAAATAAATGACTTGGTTCTGTTTACTACAGATGAGATGATTGTTGGGAGAGGGAGCTTTGTTTGCACTGTGCCTGACTTAGTGTGTAAATGTGTACCTGTGGTTTTCAGCACTGTATTCATGCAAATGATCTCCCACTGCAAACTGGAATTGTTGGTTAAACCATCAGAAACCAGGGTGACTGTTCCATTCTCACCTGTGCTTTAATGTAGTTCTAGAATGAAAAATCTTGGCAGTGTTTCAAACAGCAACACTTTATTAGTAGCACATGTGATCCCAGGTGTAGTTTTGTCTCCTCAGTTCAGCAGTCAGGAATCACCAAGGCCGTGCATGCATTGTTCACTGCTGGTTTTGGGCTTGTGTGGTTTGAGGTGTGGGAGTGGCAGTGGAGCCTCTGTACAGCAAGATAAAGTTCTTGAAGTTAAATTCCAGAGGAGATTATTCTGCTTGAGCTCCAGTCTTCCTGGTTTTCCTTCCACAGGATGGAGCTGCCACATCAAGGAGCCTTTTCTCTGTTGTGTCCTTCAAGTGACAGTGCAGGAGCACTCTGCTCGGTGTTCCCTGTCACATCTCCAGCCAGTGCTTGCTTTGAACCAGGGTGGTTCAGTCATAATGAGCAGCAGTCAATTCCACTAGTTAATTACACACCTGCTTGTTTTCTGCCATTGATCCATTTAATCAGGAGTAGATTAATTGATTCTTCAAAATTCCTAGTTACTAATTCCATGTTGTGTGAAATAGGAGTAGTGGCTTTAGAAACAGGAATACTGGCCTTTTCTACAGTGCTGAGTTTTCATACTGCAGTCTAATTTATAAATTACCCTTTAAAAATTATTACTATAAACATAGATTTTTTTTTTTTGTCGTCTCACATCATGTGTTCTTAACACCTATTTGCACTAAAAGGAAGAAAAAGGGAAATTCACATTGGATGCACTTTATCTTTCACCTGTTACTTGGAAGTCAAAATTCCAGTCCATTAAAGAGCTGAGAAACCATTAGGCATTAGAACTTTGTTGACCTTTAATAAACCAGAATGGTTCATTAAAATTGAGCCTGTTTACCTTATGGTGATGTTTCTGTAGTTGTCAGTATCAAGAAATACTGAAAATCAAAACAGGGGAATGTGTTCTTACATTCAAAATAATCTTTTACTTCATTTACTTTTTTACTTTACTTTTAAGATAACTCTGACCCATTTGTCTCAGTACAACAAAACTGATTTAGCAAATGCTTTGTAATATGAGGATAGAGAGGCATAAGTAAGACAATGTTATAAATTGGTTTTAAAAGGGAGACAGTGTGTCATATTTAAAATTACTGATAGGCAGCTCAGCAATGAAACCATTTCTGCTTTTAGAGCAGGCTAAAAATAGTTAAAATGTCAGACACTGCTCCATTAATGGATCATTCCCTTCCTCTCAGCTTTGCTCTCCAAGTACAGTCGTGTTGCAAATTCCTCTGCCCATTTTAGCTGGCCAAGAAGGTCTTGTATGTCTCTAACCCACAGTGATCTGCTGTATACTTCTAAATTTCTCTTCCTGATTGTAGAAGGAAAGATTACCTAAAACATGGGAATGAGAGCTTCCTTTCCTTGTAATATGGAATTGAAAATGTATTGGAAAAAATAGAGCTTTTTATTCCTCTGAGATTGCTGAGCTCCTGCCCTTTGCTGCGAGATCTTCCTTACAAGAATGCTAATTTAAGAAGGTACATTTGAAAAGAGCTGTTGGTTGCAAACAGCAACACTCTGCTTTTGGAGTTTATACTTGCTGGCCATGGCTAAAACAGTGTCATCAGGATTGGCATTAATGTGTTCATCCTGAGTAGCAGTGTGGTGATTTTTGTGTGCAGTGCTGTGGAGAAGGGATGGGGTCTCTATAAAATATGTATTTCTCATGGAACAAAGATCTCTGCCATGCCAAGTCTAGCCCAAAGAAGGAAAATGCAACAGCTTAGGGTGTTTTGTACTTGAGAGTTAGTGAAGTTAAAGAGGGAGCAAAGAGAGAAGGTGAGAAGCCACTCACATTTTACAGCAAGGAACAAAGATGAAAGTCCAGATGGACAAAATGATGATGGATATAAAACTAAATTCACCTACTCACACTGAACTGAATCTTTCTTAGCTGATGAATAAGTACAGGAAAGAAGTCTGTAACTGAAAATTGAGATTGAAAGCAAAAATAACATTTTTGTAGCTCCTCCTTCATGCTTTGGCCCTGCAGTGAGGCTGCAGTGTGGCTTGGTGTTGTGCCTGGCATGCAGCTCTGCACCTCAGGTACTGCCAGGAGCACTCCAAAGGGAATGGTGCCCTGCTGCAAAGGGAGCATTCCCTGAAGTTATTTCAGAATTGATGGCATCTGAATGCAGAACTAGCAGCCACAAAAGATTGTATTGTAATTCCATTTTTAGGTGCCAAGGCTGTATTAAAGTTGGACACCCTTTTCTTCTACAGTAATTTTGGTTGGTGATGTGAGAACTCATCTTCATAAAAGGCCTTGGAGATGAAAGGCACTGTGTATAATAACAGTGCATGGTTCTGAGTTGAAAAACAAATTTGTGTCAAGTACATCTTCCTCCTCCTCGGCAAAGAACAGCAGAAAGAATATTAGCAATGTTTATTTTCATCATTTAGAGACTTTCCTTGAGCTGCCTTCTGTTGTCCAGAACTAATGAAATCTCTGATGCCAGAAGCAGGAGCAGAACTTTTTATCTCATTTTATTTTTATGTTAGTTCTGCTAGTTTACTATGATGTTTTTAGCACAGAGAGACTATCTAGTGAAATCTGTCTTAGTTTAGCACAGAAGTTTCTCCTAAAATTACTTTCTGGGCTTCACCAAAGAGTAAAACTATAAATAGAACAAGCCTGAGAGGTGTCTTTTAAGGATTTGCTGGTGAGAATTAGTGTCCTATTAATTTCTTCTGCAAATAAATCCTGGAAATAACGAAGTGTTGGTTGTGTGTTTTAATTGTAGCTCCTGTGTGCTGATGTTGCTGGCTGGCTGACTCACCAGATGGAGCTGTAGGCTTGTTCTTCTTCCCGGGAGAGCCATCCCTGAATCCCTGAACTCTGCTGCCGTGTGAATCCTGTGAATTCTGAAAAAGGCCACCAGAATGACTTGGCAGTCTCTGGTGGAGAATAAGAATCCATTTATTTTGGCTTCTTGCAGGAGATGACACCACAACATTCAGACTGTTGTGTTCACTCTGTGACATTGCAGAATTCTGAGGCAGCTGAAAGTTGATTGGGAAAAACAGAAAACCAAACAACTGTTTGAGAAGCAAAGTTCATGTCAAAACAGAATTCTGATCATGTCAAAACTCAGAATTTTGATCATGTCAAAACCAGAGTTCTTGGGCAGTGTGTGAGGTTTGAGCCATTGTCCACAGAGAAGCTGGAGCTGCACCTGTACAGCTTTGGGCTGGGATGCTGAGCAGAACCCCCTGGCCCAGGTGAGCACCTGAAGCTGGGAGTGACTGAAGCAATTTCAGGAGCTGGTTTAGCTGTGCCTGCCTGCACTGCAGTGTTGGATGCCAGTGTTTCAGGAAAGGTGCTGGAGTTCAGAAAGCAGCAGCATTGCATTCAGGCTGAGTAGGAGATAACAGTGAACTCCTGATGGCTCTGATTCCTCCCCAGAACACAGCACTGCTTTGGGCTCAGTGGGGTTCACTTTATCCCAGTGTCTGCCTGGGGCTGTGTTTTGGGTTTGTGCTGAGCACAGTCAGGACCTTACAGAGATGTTTTTGTTACTGCTGAGCGGGGCAGACACAGAGCTGAGGCCTTTTCTGCTGGGGGTTATTGGTTTCTCTGGGTCTGCTTTGAAGGCACTTGAGATGGCAGTTCGTGTTGGGACTCAGGTGTTTATTGTTTCTCATCAATGAAACAGCCTCACAGCCTTGAGCTCTGCAGCCCTTCATTAGCAAGGCACAAAATGGCCAACTATCTCTTCTTACAAGGTCTTTTGAGACTAAACTGTTCAATTAAGAACTGACACCTAGATTATTTTCCCTTTTAACCCAATAACTGATCCCTCAAAGCCTGCAGTGTGGACTTTTCTGTCCAATTACAAAATACCACCCAAACCCATGAATAAGAAAGTAAAGAAGAACAACCTGCCTCCACCCTAAAACCTCCATCTTTCTTCATATTTATTTCTATATTCTAAAACCCCAAACTCTAAGTTTTCCACCCTGTGATATTACACATTTCTAACCAGCTACACACTCATAATCCCAATGCTCTGTTCTGCTTTTCTGCTCTACTCCAGCTGCCACCAGCTCTGATGTCACTTTGGACAAGGCTCTCTTGGAGAGTACCTACACATGGAGCTATTCCTGTCTGACAAAAATAATACCAAAATCCTTGTTTAGTTCCTGCTCCTTCAGGACTTCGAGTCCTTCACAACTTGTTCAGTTTAGCTCTAAACCAAAAATAGATTTACTACATGTAAGTAAGCAAAATTATGCTTAGAAGAACATTTGCAGTAGTTGGGAGTTTGGTTTCCTGTATTTGTGAGACCATCATTAACTGCTTTGACAAAAGGAAGAAGTTAATTAAAGATAATCATTGCCAATGACGATGATGATAATGATACTGATGACAGAGAAAAAAATAATCAGCATATTGGAGGCAAATTATTTGACAACAGTCTGTATTAAAGAATGTGTTAAGAATATTTCCTGACTGGCTGAGGAGAAAAAATCTTGTGGCAATAAAATAGTGTTTTGTTTTCCTCCATAAAAACAGAGTAATTTCTGAGGTGGTGTTCTGGTTTTGTTTTGGGTGGTTGGATGCCTAAGGTGAGGGCTGGAGGAAAGGAGGAAGGGGAACTGACACTGCAGTGTGAAACACAAAGCATGATTTCTTTTAGACATTCCTTGGAGTGTTTGGAAAGGAAAGCACTTCTGAGAATGCTGATTTCTCATTTTTGGAGTATTTGGAAAGGAGAGCACTTCTGAAAATGCTGATTTCTCATTTCTGGCTGAGCAAAAATCTAGGAAGGAAAGCACCTTCCAATATATTTCAGATGCCAGTGATTCAGGACAGGAGCATGGCAGAGAGAGGATGCTGAAGCTCAGCCTCAGTGCCCTGCTGCAGCTGCTGGGGGTTTGTGTGGGGATGAAGGGCTGAAATGTGCCCTTGTCACTGCTGCTGCTCATCACCCAGGGCACACCAAGGGACAGCACGCCTGCACTTTCCATTTGTGACACCTCTTTGCTGTACCCCACCAGGGGAATTGGCAGAAAATGGAGTGCAAACCATTCTGAGCAGTCACAGGGGAAAGTCAGACTGAGTCAGTTTGGAATCTCTTCTGCAGGAAATATTTTCATGAGGAAGTCTCAGGAAAATAAATGCACATAGGACATAAATGCAGCCAGATAATGTCACCTACAGAGCTGAGGCAAGTGCCTGGGTATTTACCTGCCTGTGCATTGTGGAGGTACAATACACCTTATTCAACATTTTTTTTTTATTTACAGACATAATTTCCTTTCCTGCTTCCTGACAAGCATGGCAGGAGCACACACGTGTCCCTGTACTGCTTCAAGCATTTTGTTTTCAGGAGCTGTGACAAGCTCAGTGTGGTATCTTACCCTTCCCTGAAGGCTTTCTGATTAATGTATTTAGCAAATCATTTGAAAGTATATGTGGTCTTGAGACACTGAAATTATCATATTTTCATCACTATCATCTTGTTTTTGCAAGGAAGAATACCTCATCTTAGATTTTGAAACATGATACACGAATGCATCTTAGGCATAAATGCCCTAGACCTAAAGTCATGGTTTTTCTCTTTTTGTTGGTTATATCCTGGCTGGAAATCAGTCTGGCCAAGTTCTTGTGTTTAAAACAAGGAAATGTCCTGTATTCAACATTTCACACAAGTGGTAGTGTGCAATGAATATAAAGCAAATGCCAACATGTGTTAGGTGGTTTTTTCCCAAGAATTAAAAATGTGAGAAAGAGCATATCAAAAATTATGATGTACAACATTCTGGCTGTTTAAGCTAAAAAAAATTCCAAGCAAACTATTTTTAAGGAAAAGTAAACATCACAACTTCTCGTATTGAAATGAAGCTCTTCCCTTTTCTTCCAGTGTATCTGTGAAACAAAATGTAGAGCCCCTTGTTTTGGAAAGGGGAGAAAAAAAATCTACCCTACCCCTAATAATTTCCACCACAGACTGAAATCAGAATTACTGAGCTACAGTTTCTAGATTTCCTCACTTTATACAGCGAGCAATGGGCAGAGGAATAACAACAGCAAAATGTAAAATTCTGAAAAACCTTTGGAAAAGACAATAGCCAAAGTTTCAAATATGGATGGAGGCAGAAGCAGGTTTTAATTGCATCATTGTTAGAGAAAAAGTGCAGAAAATCTTGTCAGGTTGCAATTCATTGTAGTCTTGTCTGTCACCTTTTGTTGCCAGGCTCAGAAATGAGGTAGATAAGAGAAGTTTTTGCATAACAGTTGTAAAATATTGTCACTAACCCACCCCCACACACCCATTTTATTTCACACTGACAAAAGCTGAGATGAATGAGTTGTCTGGCCCTTCCCACTTTGTATAGTCATTGGCTGGCTTGGTTCTAAAAGGGATTTTAAAAAGGGGAATAATGTGCCTTTGCCTAGGATCTGAGGCTGTCAGGGTGCTGAAAAGCTGATCTGTGACCATGCAGATCCCTTGGGCTGTGTGTGCTGTCTGTGTCCTGACACAAATCACACTTCACTCTGTGCAAGGCTGGCAGATGTTTAAAAATGATGCTACAGAAATCATTCCTGAGATCACTGAAAATCCAGAAACACCAATGGAGCCGACTTTCAGCAACAACAACACCATGAATCAGGCAAAACATGGAGGAAGACACATACAGCAAACTCCAGACCTCAGCGGTAAGAAAAATATCATTACTGTTTGGTTCTTAGCAGACAATTTGCAAAAGAATATTGGCATCATCTATGTTTGTTTATTAACAATTTAGGTGTGGCCCAGCTGCTTTATGTGATAGGGATTTACATCTACTGTTGAAGAAATATGGATATAAACATTAGAAAGAATTTATTGGAGTTTACTGATGCAAATATCAGCTCTCTGTTGAATATTGCTGTTCTGCAGACAACTCCAATACATAAAACCTGTAGTAGATTTTGCTTAACACTTCTCTGTGTTTTGTGAGGAAATATCACAAGTTCTCTTTCTCTCTTTAATATTAGGATGGGGGAATGGGTTGACAGTGGAGACAATAATATAAATTTGTAATATTTGGGAACATCCACCAGCTGTGACTAAGATCACCCACCAAAAGTGGCACATTGAGGTTGTGTTCAGCTAAATGAGACGAGTGTGCTGCTCACTGACAGATCTTCAGCCAGGTTCCAGCAGCCAAAAATGCTTCAAGATCCATTGTCACTTGACCAAGTGTCCAACTTTAGCAGTGATGCAAGACACCAGCCTTTTGAGGAGAGACAGAAGATGGCAAGCTAACCCCAAACAGAGAAAAGTAGCTTTAAAAAAGTTTTCCACTGGAAAATAGGGCAAGCTTGGTCCTCCAGACACACAGAACAAAGCACAGATCAAACTTAGAATTTCCACTTTGTGCATTGCAGATCTTGGCCAGCCTCCTTTTTCTGGGGACAGCTGGAAGGCAATTGTGAATTTCTGCTGCAGCTGTCTTTAAGGCATTTAAAACCAAAGGGTTAACAATATTTCAAAAGAAATTTTTAAAAAGTAATGCTTTTGAGAGTGTGACCTTAAAAGTTTCTCATATTCCTAAGAGGGGGATCACTCAGTTCCTCCCAGGCAGCCCCACCAACCTCCAGGTCAGAGCAGGTTGGATTTTTTTCCCAATACTTTCATTTTTTAGCCTCTTATTACTCTGCCATCAGCTGGGAACTGCCCCACTGATTTGTGCATATTTTTCAAAGTGGAAAGCACAGAAAGTTAAGAAATCAAAGACTGAAGGAGAGTGGGCAGTTAAGATATTTTTAAGATATTATTTTGGCATTTTTAACATAAAGAATCAAAATTATGATGCAAAGTGGTCAGACCTTTCTGGAACACTTGTACCAGACCATGAGAGATTTTGCACCTGCACACTCACAGGACAAAAATGCAGATAATTTCACCTACAGAGCTGAGGCAAGTGCCTGGATGTTTAACTGCCTGTGCATACAATGCACCTTAATCAACACACTTTTTAATTTACAGACAGAATTTTCTTAGCTGCTTGGGAAACTTGGGAGTGTTAGACTGAAGTGCATGTGGAGTTCAGTTGCCAGTATTTTTGTCACAGCTGGCAAGGATTGCTTAATTCCATTAATGCAGTCCTTCAAAATTTTAAAACATGAAATCTTGCTAGCTTGTACTTTGACAAATATAAATCTGAGCACTGAAAATCCTGTTTCTGTACTTCACAGGAAAACCAAAAATTAAAATGTCTGTACAGATACTGTTGTGTCACTAATGATTCAGAGTCAGAATTCCTTTTTGCTGAACTAAACCTTGTACACAGTGAGGAGAATGGGCCTCAGCCTTCTCTGAGCTGACCTTTGAAGGTTCCACCACAAACTTCCTGAGTTCAGTCTGTCCTTTTGACTAAGAGAACATTAATGTAGATGAATAACTAATGTAAATTAATAACTTCTAGATGAAGTTATTTGATAAACACTTAAAAATCAAATTTTGTGTTTTCCCAACAAGTCAATTAATCAAGGGAAAAGAGCCACTTTTGGGAAAAGTTATTCTCCTACAACTGGAAAGTTTCTAAATATTTAACACTAAGAAATCTTGTATTTTCTAATGCTTCATTTGCCTATAGTTATCCATTGAGAAAAAGGAGAGGAAAACATCTGTAAGGTTCCTAATAGCCAGAAGATGCCTCTAGCTCTCTCAGGGGAGCTTTGTGGGGCATGTGGAATTACCACAGAGTAGGAAATTTGGAAAAGCTGCTGCCTGAAGAGTGGGAATTCCTTAGTGCTGCTGTTACCTGTGATTTCTCTAACCTGGAACACATCATGCAAGCTAAAAATCACCTAAGGAACACTTTTTTTTTTTTTTTTCACAAAAGAATTTAAATCTGGAGTCTATATCTAAAGTCAACAGAGTTAAACTAGAGCAGTGGAGGTAAATGGAGCCAGGAGAATATTGCCAAAAATTCCCAGCTGCTCCATTTCCCCCCGCACAGCACTGACATGAAATGCACCTGGTGGATTTTATTCACCAATTTTTATATTGTTATTCAAGGGTTTTACAGCTGGAGTAGCTGAATAGTCAGGAGCTGCATGAGTGAGCCTTTTGAGGTATTTCTCCTGCAAAATCTGCTGTTCAAGACATTCAGCTTGTGTCTAGCTCAGAGAGATCTGCTGCAGGAGCTGTTGTGGTTTGACACTGGCCCAACACCAGGCACCCACAAAAGCCACTCAGCCACCCTCCCCTGCCACAGCTGGGCAGAGGAGAGAAAAATGAACAAAAAAATCTGTCAGATTATAGCACTTGATAGGAGAGTGAGAGAAACTGAGCTGGAGGTTTGGAGGTTTGAGATAAGGACCAGGAGAAAAACACTCCAAGGGCAAAACAGGCTTGGCTTAGAGGCACAAAGTGACTTTATTAACAGAATCAGAGGAGGATAATGAGAAGTAAAATAAACCCTTAAAAAGACCTTTATTCCCCAAAATTGTTGCTCCTTCCCAGGCAGCTCAGGCAGACAGGGCATGGGGGTTTAGGGTAAGGGTTAGGGTTTGGCTGCTTCCTCAAAGCTGGCAGGGAAAGAGCAGGATTGAAGGGAAGAGCAGGAATGAAGGATTACAAGAATGAAAGAATAGGATTGAAGGGAAGAGCAGGAATGAAGGGAAGAACAGGATTTAAGGGAAGAGCAAGATTTAAGGGAAGAGGAGGACTGAAAGGAAGAGCAGAAATGAAGGATTACAGGAATGAAAGAACAGGAATGAAGGGAAGAGCAGCACTGAAGGGAAGAGGAGGAATGAAGGATTACAGGAAAGGAAGAGCAGGAATGAAAGAATAGGATTTAAGGACAGAGCAGGACTGAAAGAGCAGCACTGAAGGGAAGAGCAGGAATGAAAGAACAGGATTTAGGGGAAGAACAGGAATGAAAGAACAGGATTTAGGGGAAGAGCAGGAATGAAGGATTGCAGGAAGGGACGAGCAGCACTAAGGGAAGGGCAGGAATGAAGAGAAGAGCAGGAATGAAAGAAGAAGATTTAAGGGAAGAGCAGGAATGAAGGGAAGAGCAGGAATGAAGGGTTGCAGGAAGGGACGAGCAGCACTAACGCGCTCCCTGTTCGCAGATGCCGCCTTCAGCTGCCGGGAGGTTCGCACCACGCGGTTCCTGACGGACGGGCCGTGCCGCAGCCTGAAGCCGGTGAAGGAGCTGCTGTGCTCGGGCCAGTGCGAGCCCTCGCACCTCCTGCCCAACTCCATCGGCCGCGGCAAGTGGTGGCGGCAGAACGCGCTGGATTTCCGCTGCATCCCCGCGCACAGCCGCACCCAGCGCGTCCTCATGGCCTGTCCCCAGCAGGAAACGCGGACTTACAAATTCCGAGCGGCCACGTCCTGCAAGTGCAAGCGCTACACTCGCTACCACAACCAGTCCGAGCTCAAGGACTTCGGCAAGGACAGCGCCCGGCCCCAGAAGAACAAGAAGCCGCATCTGGCCAGAGCCAGGAGCGGGAAATCCAACCAGCACGAGCTGGAAAACGCTTATTAGGAAGGAGGTGGCTCTGGGTGGGACGAACTGGCGCTCCGGATGTTTGTTAAACCATCAAAAGGCACTCAGAGGTCACAGCGTGATGTTCTGACTGCAGTAGGTTCCAATTCCTTCTGCTAAGCTGGGTCAAAGGCTCACATAGGCAAAAAATCGGTCAGATTTAGCACTTGTGGTGTGGTAAGAGAATGAGGTAAAGGCAGCTGGAGGCACCTGTCACTACAGGACACGGAATGACACGACAGGGACACGCGGCTCTCTCAAGGCAAAAAGAGAATTTTTAATTTCTGATTCCAGCATTTATAGATTTCCAAAAGTGACAGTGGATTGGAGGGTGACAGTGCCACCTCTCCAATGACACTGGACAAACCGACAGTCCATCAAATTTCTCCTCCTCCATAAAAGAATGCAAAGCAATAAGTCATTTACAGAAAGCGTGTGAGAAAGTTCATTACAAGAATGTAAACATCAGAAGGCTTAGAAAATCTTAAAAGATCAGGGTGACAGGCACCCCTTGGAGGTCCGTGGCAGTTTGTGTGTCCTGGACGAGCAGGGAGGCAAAGTGAAGCTGTTGTGGGGACAATCACACTTTGCTTTATTCCACTCATTTATGGGAAAAGAATCCTGAGATCCCTTCCCCAGACAAGGATGCAGGACAAGGATGCGTTTAGGGAAGCACCAGGAGAGTCTCTGAGGGAGCCCTAGAAAGTTTGGGGCAGCAGGGATTTCAGGTTCTGGTGGATGAAGTCAAATTGTTGGGAAATGAACACGTTATCAGATGTCCTCACGCACCAGTGGTTCCTCTCAAATCAAAATGTGACACTAGTGTTCTCAAAGTAAAAGTGTGACAAATCCATTTAAAAGATTATGGGGTCGACAAATTCAAAACTGAGATTTGGCGACTAAAATCATATTGATTTGGGAACAATGATTTGTTTTAGGGACAATTCAACAAATTCTCCTAAGTGGAGCAGATTTATGAAGAAAATGCTCCTGTCAAACCAGATAACCTCACTGATGTCTGTCCTGTAAACAGCTAGCATTATTTAACACAGAATACATAGGATATACTGATTATTCCTTATTTGTAGAACATGTTTGACTTTAATATCAGCTTAGATACATCCATTTACATTTTCTGTTCTGTAGAGTTTGGAGTATCTGGCCACACACTCTGTAGCACTAAAACTGTGCAAACCAAGCTCTGGGAGTAAGGTGGTGGTTCTGCATTAAAAGTGAGCCTCTGCTAAGTCATGGATTCCTCTAGAAAAGTCTTTAGGACGTGCAGCTTTGATAAGTCTTTAGTTTGGCAGCAACTTTCCTTTACTTAGCTTCTCAACACTCAGACTAATGGTTGTGTTTTTACTTTAAAGGATATTGTTAGAAAGTGAATTGTCACATACTGTATACATCCTGTAGAATTGATGCTGGAATAATATAAACTGTGGAAATTTGAAATGTTGATAGATTTTTTTCAGTAATTTTATGTGGGACCAGAACCTAGAGAGAAAAGGTATCATTTCAGAGAGTGAATTACGTATTTATTTTTTTTCCAGAAAATTATTTATGCAATGTTTTAACTTGTAGAGAACGAGAAGTAATACTGCTTTAAAAATATTAGTCTGTTATTTTTAATTTTAAATACATTGTTAATAAAGTAGAAACAATGATTAATTCTAGAAAGACTCATTGATTTTCAGCTACAGTGTAAAGCTGATTTCCTGCAAAGCCAGGGATTTACAGAACAGTCAGGGTGTCAAGTCCAGTTTCTGTGATTAAAATTGAGATCCTTAATTCTACCAACCTGCACATCCCTAAAGAAACTCCATCCTGGAGCTCCTTGCTCTGGCACAGGATGTTTCTCATGGAAAAGTTCTTCCTGGGCAGAATTATTTCAGTATTCTCATTTCTGCTTCCCTCAGACATTCCCTGATTTGTGTGTTCACAACTGGATAAAGCCACCAAAGAAAACAATAAATCTGAACTGTCAGTCAAGAGATCTTGGTTGAAATCTGATTGCTTCAGATTTCTTTCATTGAAAAAAAAAAAAAAGAAGAAAAACGGCGTGGAATCCCCTTGCAAATGCTGCCAAGCAACAGTTAAAATGTTTTACACTTTGGTGTTGTAGAGCTATGCTCATTCTCATTTAGTCTTTAAGAAACATTTTCCAATAAAGTCAGAGGAAACTGAGCTTGGGCTGCACATAGCAGGCAGCTCTTTCAATGCAGATGAAAAGATGAGCAGCTTTTTCAAGACAAGCCAGTATATATAAGTTGTCCTTTCCTTACTAAGACTTGATACATAAAGAACAATTTTAGGAGAAAACTATCACTTTTTAAACTAACTTCTCCTGCTAATTTGACTAGGGGAAAAAAATCAGGCCCTGCATAAAAACCCAAAGTAAACCATAAAAAAAAAATCACATAAAAACCCAAAGTAAACCATTGTCACAACTGCAACAACATTTTCCAAACTTATCTTTGCCTTCATGAATTTGACACTCGAGGCTTGATTTTCAGAATTCTTTATGAGCACTGCAAGCAGTGCTGAAGTGAGAAAAACAATTAATTTCTCTGGAAAGCTGTTCCACAGTCTCTCACCTAAAACCAATGAAATATTGGTTTTTAAATATTAATTGTGATTAGCCAGTGAGAGAGACTTGCTCCACTTCATCTCAGACTCCATCCTGGGCTTCAGGCAATCCAGCATCAGGCCTGCTTCAGGGGAACCAGGAATGTCTTTGTCCCAAATATTTCACCTAGAAGAGATCCTCCTACCCCCAAAAATATATTGTCCCATACAGTTCCTGTCTGCCAAAAGTGTCAGTGCTTCCTGCTGTCAAACTGCCACTCAGAATCTTGCATTTTTCTGGCTCACAATGTAAGGATTCATTCTTTGCAAGGCATAAAAGCTTTCACAAGGATCCCAGTGGGTGAAGAGTCCTTTTAGGCTGTGTTTCCTCCCACCAGCCATCCTGTTTGCAGTGACTTCTCCCTGGTTTTAGCACAGGGTAAAGGTGGATGAGAGGAGCAGCCTGCAGACATGACTGATCTTCTGTAATCTTTCCCCTGAAACGTCTCCTCCAACCAGCACTTCTGCAATTTATGTTATCAGGAGAGGAATAGGAAACAGTGGTTTGCTAGCAGCTGCAAAAATCAAAATATAGGATGTTTCAGAGGTGGGCTGCCACATTTTCCTCCACCACCACATCCATGTGGGTTCTTTTCAGACAGAGAATTTGGGATTGTTTATTCATTAATTTATTTTTGCAATCACCCTCTATTTTTTAACCTCCGATATTGGTGTGCATAATCTCAGAGGAGATAGCATCCCTAGCTGTGGGTTTGAGAAAGAGTCTGCAGGAAATTTGAGTTTCTTTTTACACAAAACTATAAATTTCAGCTCCTTCCAAAGAATGGACAGTGACCTACTGTGTGCTCCTTCTACAAAAGCAGATCAGATTAGATTATTAAATTAGATAGTTTTTCTTTGGAATTGTAAATTCTTCACATGAGAATGAATGTCTTCGTTGTCATTTTTGCAATAAAACAGCACAGATGTGCATTGTCTAGGTGCTGCTGAGGAATCAGCAGTAACAGGTCACTGCTTTTACCCAGCTGCCTGCCAGAACTGAGCAATGCCATAATGGGCAGTCCTCAGAGAAGAAATCAAGGCACTTTTTTCAGACAGAATCCATGATTCCTCCAAATCTCCTTTTCCACCCCACTTTTATTTCCAACAATTTGTGTAGACTGTGGCACATTCTCCACAATACACTCACTGGCTTAAAATAGTCACTGTGCTCACTTCATTTCTTTTTCTGGCAAAAGTAGAATTTTACCGAAAGAAAGAAAGAAAGAAAAAAAAACTCCAAAAAAATTAAAAATAAACCTACCAGCAGAAGAAAGATCCTACTGGTATCCAAGGATACCAAAGATTTGGCACAAGGTTCATCTTTTTAATTAGAAATTGAAAAATAAAGAGCATAACTTTACCCAGTGAGCTCCTAGGCCCAGAAAACACATCCCATGTGTGTTCTGCAGGTGTGGTTGAGAAAGTCAGCACTGTGAAATACACAAGGCATAAACATGTATTTTTTTAGCCATATGACATCAACTTATAATTAGCTTGTTTCACTCAAATTAGTGCAGCATATGGGCACACAGAACAACTTTTCTATAATAAACAGCCTCAAAAGGCTTCACCTATCATAAAACATAATTTATATGGAGCTGGAGTTTGGATTGAACATGCTGTGAACCTGAAATTTGATAAACTGGAACTCCCCTTGACAGGCCAGCCATGGAAACCCACTTCTAAAATAACTCAGCATTTAAAATCAAGGCAGCACAAACTGCAGAACTCGCAGCACAGGCAGCCAATGTCATTTAGTTGCACAAAATACTGCAGCTGCTCCCTGCACTCCTGGAGCCACCAAAGGAAAATTCAACTCCAAGTTTTTTCAGGGGATTGACATTTCTCTTCCCAGAACTGTGCAAACAGTTTTTATCACTGATTGTTGGAGAGTCAAGCAGCAGAGTTCCATGGACAAGGCTCACGATGCCTTGTTGCCATTCATTGCATTGGGAATATGGGGCTTTGCTGTGTTTTTTATATTATTTACCAAAATGAATTTTAACCTGGGCAGAGCAGAACAAACACAGTGTGTCTCAAGACCAAAGGGAGGAAGTATTGCTGATTTTTCTGTCTCTGTTAAGCATTTCTGATGCTGCTGAACTGGTTATTTCTTTCAATCCTAAAAGCTTTCACTCTTCTTCTATAAGAGCAAGTTCTTACTGTAAAAAGAGGGTAATAAAACTGATCAGTAAAACTTGAATAGAGGTAAAACTCATCAGCACAGGCCCTGTTAATTATGAAGTAAAAGTATAACACAAAGAGGGCCTTTAAAACACCTCATCTTTACCACGTTACAGTGTGCAGATAAACTGAACACTTCAGGGATGGGGCAGCCACAGCTCCTCTGGGCACCCTGTCCCAGTGCCTCGCCACCCTCACAGTAAAGAATTTCTTCCTAAAATCTGACCCTCTTCCAGTTTAAAACCATTGCCCCTGGCTCCCTGATGCAGAGCCCTGTCCATGTTTCCTCTGGACCCCGCTTAGGTGCTGGAAGTCTGCTCTAGGTTCTCCTGGAGCCATAAACATTCATTTTAGCCTCCCCAGCTGAGTGTGTGATGTGAATAATTTTATTTTTTTTTTGCCCCATATTGGCCACTTGGATTACAGCTGATTCAGTGGGCCTGTCGTGCCACTTGGGAACTCAACTTCAGATGGAAGTTGTGAATTTTCTGATGAAGAAAGAACACTTTGCTCTGTTCTTGGTGTCCAGAAGGGTAATATAATAATTTTCATCTCAAAGGGTAAAATACCATCATTTTCATCCCAAAGTAGCCCCAAGTCCTTGACTGAGTCCTGAGTCCCAAATCCTTGAGTGAGCTAAAAATCCAAAGCCACTGAGGTCTCCTGCTCCAGGCTGTTTGGAGCATTAACCCTGAGGCTCAAGCTTTCTAGTTCATGGCTTTCCAGGTAAATTAAATATACTCTCAAACCAAGCAATAACAGGGTATTTATTTCATGGTTATCAAGTCCCTAAATTAAACAGAATCATTATCGCTCCCCCAACAATTTAATGCTTGCAGCATGAGGTTATTTCAATTAAGAAAACAGCTCAGCTCTGGCTAAATAAATAAGTGATGTCATTCTTCATTCAGGCCTCCAGATTCTTTGGTGTAAAAACTTCCCTTAGGAGAGGTTTTGGGACATGGTGGCTCCTCTGAGACTATTTCCATCTCTCAATTTCTCTAATCTCTTCTTCCTTCCTTCCTCCTGTCTGTTTCCTTCCCTTTCACTATAAACTGGCCAGTATTTAACTCTAATGCTTCCAGTCTGCCCAACATGCTTTTAGAATTGGGTGGTTGTTGGTTTGTTGTTTTGTTGGGGTTTTTTTATAACCAGAAATAAGGTTTAATTTAAGGTAATTACTTCCCCATTTGGAGAGCTTTGCTATTTGCAGGGCCTTATTTTTTTCCCCATGTTAAATTAGCAGGAGAAGTTAGTTTTAAAAGTGATAGTTTTCTTCTAAAATTGTTCTTCAGATTAAGGGTAGCGCTCAAAACCAGAAACTTCTCACTCATGTTGAATTTCTGCATGTCTAGAAACAAAAGTGGTGCTATCAGGAAATTATTGAGGGGAGGAAGAGGACAAACAATGACAGAGACTTCCAGTGAAAATATGTATTTAAGCCTGATCACCAATTAGTATGGGCTTCCAAATAAATTAATCTTTAAATCAGAGGTGTCCAGAGTCCTCTCAGGAATTCAAAAATGGGCCCATTGGAAAAGATACTTTTCTCTAGAACTGTTTTGGTTTTTTTAGTAACATCTCTAATATGACATTGAGGACTCACAATCAGTCATAAGGATTGAACCTGCACTTGCAGTGGAACAACAGCACTTTGTGGAAATAAAAGTATTAATAAATGCAAATATTCAATGGAGCACTGTCCACTGATAGGAGTCAGTGAATAGGACATCCTGAGTGGGAAAATGGCATAAAA